CAAGATATTTCGATCCAACAGTTTGGGAAGCTCGGCGAGAAAATAGAAAGCTAGGTTAGCTAAAGTTAGCATAAAGTAACCGAACATGGCCTTCAAAATAAAATGTTTGTGGCGTTAAACACACGAACTTTGTTCAGTAAATTCGAACATACGAATATAATTGCAATTAAATTATCACAGAAAACAACTTTCCTGTGTAGAAAATTGCTTCATATAAACGTATTTCATACAATTAAAGAAAGGAAACAATTGTCACTACTTATTTCTAAAGGTCAAACCGGATGCGCTTCAGTTAGTTATATCTTACTTTGATAGAAAAGTGTTGGGGAAAAGTACCGTGGCTAAAAACTTCGAAAAAATGGAAAAACTAACTGTTGTCTCTACATTATTCATGAATTTGCTGAAAAAATAAGGAACAAACGCGATGGATTTGCCTCTTCTCTCCTCGAAGCCATTTTCACACTGACAATGGTTTGGAGGAAGGAAAAAGATAAACCCGATTTTCTCGCAATTCCATTGAAAGTAAATTTACTCATGGAGAAGGGAGCAGCGAGTCGGGAGTCATGAGCACAGGTTTGTGTCGTGGGAAGCTAACACTTATCTTAGCAGTATCTTTGCTCGCGCACACCCATGTTGCGGTCAGTTAAAACTAAACAAATGTTTGTTTTTAGTTTATGAGTGTGAATGAGTATTAAAGTATTCAACGGTCGGCAGCATCCACTTCATTTTTACGCAGGCACAGTTAATTACAGTTTTGCTTAATAACACCTTTCAGAAAGATTTTCAAAAGAGCGGGTTGGATCTATTGTGATGTTTTCTAAATACGTAGCCGTGCCTCAGTCAAAACCCCAGTTTGTGTTTGTTATAGCAGCCTCTGTCGCAGCTGGAGGGGGTTAAATCCTTTGTCCCAACACATCTGTCCTGCTGTTGATGCAGCCAGTCGAACTTAATAACTGTCACTTTCAGTCATGTTACACTTATTAACTGGTAATATCAGCTGGGAAAAAGCCTTTTGGTGATTTAATTTTACCAAATGATATATCTAGCGCTGTCTTTTACTTTAGACAAAATTCCACCAAGAAACTGTCAGTTTAACGCATTTTCGCGTTTATGTGATATATTCATCACTAACAACGCGTTTTTCTACTTTGGCAATAATATTACGATGTGCTGACTAATTCGGCTTACAGCTTAAAGATGAAAAGGGGAAACAACATTATGTTTTCTAACTGCTCGCCGCCGCCGTCCGCGGTGATTTTGTTGTTAATTTGGTGTGAAACTGTTGTAAATCTAAGTTTTCTAGCAGGAGGTATGCGCCGAATTGAAAGGTTTACCTTTTAGAACAGAAAAAAGCAAGTTAACACTTGGATTATTGAAGGCGTGCAGCGCTTTATAACCAGACAAGGGTTATATGTGGCGATTTCCGAAGGGAGTTTTTGTGGAGCGGTTTTTCGGTTCTTGGTCTTTTCGGAAACATCCGCTTGATGACTCCACAGCTCATGGTGTCGGCCAGCCGGGGAGATTCAGCCAGAAAAGCGAAAAATATGGCTGGCAATCTGAATTCACAGCTTTTTATTTGTGTGGGGGCTGTTGTTTCTGTTTTTAATACATCCCTTATTCCCCAGTGGGATCATGTCTTTACACATCTAATTCCAAGTCTGTGGATTGTTTCATAATGATCCTCCAGTTTTAGTCTGTTGTGGCATAAATGTTTTTTCCAGAGATGGATGAAAACAAACTGCCAGAAAACGGTGGAAACCAGCTGGGGAGAAACTTATCAGTTATCTCTGCTGTACATATCTTCCTGCTGCTGAGACTGAAAAGGAATATTGCAGCAGGCGTACCAAACGTGCCAGGCTCTCGGTGTATCTGACTTGAATATTTCACATTCACTGTAAAATGTGAGTTATTGAAATAAAATGGAACAAATCAAGACCAGTCAATGAAAAACATTACTTTGCAGACTCAATTAAATTCCATTTTAAAAATTCATCTGACACATGACCCGAGCCTTCTGTTCTTCACCTCTGACCCTTAAGGGTGACCTTCTGACCCCATTTAAACTCTAGCGTGCAGCTGTTGGTGCTTAGATCAGAGTAGACAGAAATGAAGCATGCTTTTATGTGCCGTTTGCTGTGCCCGTCATTTAAACTGATGCATTTTCTTTGTGTGTGTGTGTGTGTGTGTGTGCAGGTGTGAAGAAGCCTCCATTAGCTCCCAAACCTAAACTCCCCACCACCACAACCAAACCACCTATTGCCCCCAAACCCGGTCCGCTTTCCCAGTCCTTAGTGGTCTCCCAGACCTCCCCATCCACTCTCAAGAGGCCCAAACCAGCTGTTGCCCCCAAACCATGCCTTCCCAAATACGCCGCCTCCGCTCCGTCTGTCTCAGCGCTGCCTCCCAAACCCACCAAACCCCTTAATCTCTCCCAGGAGCACCAACGGGCTTCTGATGACAACCTGTGTCATCTCAACTCCAAGAATGGGATTTTCCCGGAGACCTGCGGACGTGAATCGGATTATATTATTTCCACCTGTTCCTGTGACGGGCTCGAGGACTGCTCGCAGGAAAACGAAAATCCAGCCGAGGCCGGAGCTGACTTCGAGCCAGAGGCGTTGCAGAACGGCGTTTACACAGAGGGAATGCCGAAAGAAGGAGGGGAAAACCAGGAGAGGGCAACAGCCGTTGATAAGGTTGGGCGGATTAGCAAAAAGCCAAGGGATAAACCTCAGAGACAGAGACACTTAGACCGGGGATTGGCTAACAAAGAGAGGACCGAGGAGCGGAGGGAGGAGGAAAAACATGAAGTAGAAGCTGTTGCAGAGGCTGTTGTTTCACATGATGCAACGCTGACGGAGGCACGAAGGACAGACCTGACAGACTCTACGTCAGCCTGTGATGTTGCAGGCAACATCAACGTCTTGACAAATATCCCTTCTCATGATCCCTCTGCAGCATATGTCAGTAATTCATCTCTGTTCCAGTCTCAACCCGATCTACAAGTCCCTGCTGCTCCCAGTAAGCCTCTCCCTGTCCCCCACCCACGTAAACTCAGAAAGCCAGCCCTGGTGAGGCAGGATGGAGTGGAGGGTGGTGTCCAGGATCAGGTGGCGGAGGATCAAAATTCAGGGCATGAAATGCAGGAAGCTGAGGGAAACCTGAGTCTGCCTGGTCTTCCTCTCAGGTCAAAGGGTGAGGAGCTCAAACGGGACACGTGTGAGGACTCAGAAACCCTGACAGATTTGTGTTTGGGACATTTAGAGACTGACGTTCCTGTGCCGCCTCCCAGACAGACCTCCCTCTCGCCCTGTCTACACAGAACTGTCTACTCTCCGCTAAATAAAAACACCTCCTACTCCTTAGATCTGCTGTCCCAGCCCGACTGCGAGAGCCTGCAGGTGGAGAAGCAGCAGCTGCAGGAGGACGAGGAAGACGTGTACGGTGACTTTGAGCGGTACCCGATAACTCACAGCCTCCCCAAACAGATCAGACTGGGCTCCCCCCCTCCGATGGCCAGTAGCAGGAGATCCTTCTCCAGTGAGGATCATCAGTCACCAAGGTCACCGCCGAGGAAGCCTCAGAGGCACAGCCTGCCCGCACCGCCCCCACCCTCCATCTGCCCGCCTGCTCCTCCACATGCCAGCACCCCGATGAGGGAGCTGCCCGCACCTCCTCAAGAGAAAACTGCCTGGCGCTTCGCGCGACCTTCTGTGACTTTTTTCAGCCGACAGATGCCCACCAGGAGTAGCGTGCCGCCAAAAGGCCGGGCCCCTTTGCTGGGGGGCAAGCAGAGGGCCCAGTCCTTTTCTGCGGCCGACCTGGCAACCCGGGCCAGCTCTCAAAAGAGGATCCTCTCCTTCCGCAAGCTGCTGGAGCTCCGGCTGTCCGTGAAGATGCTGCCGAAGCTGCTGGCCAAGGGGGGGCAGTCCTTGGACTGTACCAGCATGGATTCAAACGGGGGGGGCGAGAGCCTGGTGAGGCCCAGCAGCTGCATAGAGGATGCCAGTATTTGTGGAGACGGTGTGGAGGAATCGAGGGAGTATGAGAACATGCCGTTGTATGAGGTGATCCCGGAGTACATGAACCTGCCGTTTCACAGCGCCAGGCCGGGGTGGTCACATGATCTGGAGGACGCAGATTCAGACATCTACGAAGTGCAGGACCCCTGTCACGGATGCCACGAGTATGAGAGGTAGGCACACTCGCAACTCTGCTGGCTTGTTGCTTTTGAACATAGGGTCACGTGATGTATAGACATTTTTACTTCTTTGAATTTGTTAGAGATGTTTTGTACTGGAGGAAAATGTCCAAAGTAAAATCAAATTTAGACGCTTTGGAAAGAAATTTTTTTTCTTTTTGTGTTTCTGTTTCTTAAAGAGCAAGTTACCCCCCCAAATCAACTTTTTTTTTGCTGATAAACTATATAAATGAGTGTCTAATCGTGCTGCAGACACATGTATTCAATAATTTGGCACTTCAGTGCATCTTAGTTAAAATTTAAATATTCTGCCTAAAACTGTCAGCGATGCACCGTCGTCAGGCAAAAATTCTGCACTGTATTTGAATGTAAATCTGCCACCGCTATTGGCTAAGAGGTATGCTATGATGTTAGCTGGTACATTATGATGTCACAATGCCATTGTGAGCCTGTGTGTGTGTATTTGTTAGCGGCTCCGCCCTCTCGGTCTGCCAGGCAACAGCATTTGTTGCATTTTTCAAACAGGAAGTGGGAGTGAAGTAAATTTCTTGTAGGGGGTGACTTGCTCTTTAAAGAGCAAGTCACCCCCCCCCAAATCAAATTTTTTTCGCTGATAAACTATATAAATGAGTGTATAATCAGGCTGTACACACATGTAGTTGATATACTTTGGTTATCTTGACCCACCGCTTGCTTTTTTTATAAACAGTCCCTTTAGCGAACGCGTCTTTAATGGACGTCTGTCTCTGACTGCTACTAGCCGTTTTAGCCTTGGAGGTGGAGGGTGCAGATCGAAGCTTGAGACATTCTTGGCAATCCAAGACGTGTTTTCGGCCGAGGTGATGAAGCAAGTTGCTGGTGTTACCCCCGCCGGCTACCACCGTTGCTCGACAGCATTAGCATGTAAAAGTTGTTTGCTCCACGTCCGAACTTTTAAACCCAAAAAACCTCCAAACAACGGACGTGGGTCCTCTTTTTGGAATAAATTCTTCTGCATTCGAAGTTTTCATGTCGCCGTGACAGCTCCCGCCAGCCGCCATTCTTGGTTTCACCACGCCGTGGTGTTTGTGTGTAGCAGTGAAATGAGTCCCCGCTGAAACACTTTCCTACTACGAACATTCTGTACGTTGTCTAAGCCATTCACCGGTATGTGAAAATTTCATATAATCACCAGAATAAATACCGGTTGTTAGTATGAACCGGTTTACTGCCCAAGACTAAGTTGATAATTTGGCACTTTAGTGCATCTTAGTTCAAATTTAAATATTCTGCCTAAAACTGTCAGTGTTGCGCCCTCTTCAGGTAAAAATCTTCACTGCATTTGATCTGCCTATGCTAATGGCTAAGTAGTACCCTATGACGTTAGCTGGTGCCATAAGATATCACAATGCCGTTGTGAGCCTGTGTGTGTGTATTTGTTAATGGCTCCGCCCTCTCGATCTGCCAGGCAACAGCATTTGTTGCATTTTTCAAACAGGAAGTGGGAGCGGAGTGAGACTCTGATAGGGGGTGACTTGCTCTTTAAGAATGATTTAATTTGTCTTTGTATGAGATGAAACAGTTTGAACTGGAAAATGTCTGAATATTCAGTGTAGTTGAAGATTTTTGCTCAGAACAAGGAGAGAGAGAGACTGCTGCCTGTGTTTGAGTAAGTGAGGGATAAGAGCAGCAGGAACCATCGTGTGCGACGGACAGGTACAGGTGACTCCAGCCGTTTGTGCTTTCAAGATTATCAAAGTCTGCATCTGAGCCGTCTGATGATTTGAATAGAGCATTGATGTGCAGCGGGTCGGCGTGTTTTCCTGTAAGTTATTTTCAGTGGCCAGAGCAGGAAATGTCTGAGAATCACAGCAAACGCCACACAGGGAAAAATATACCTCCAGCAACCACCAGCCTTCTCCTGTTCAGTCTAACCGCCCTCGCCCTGCGTTTAGCCTCTTCCTAACCTCATCGCTCCTTCGTTTTCCTTCTCTGCTGCGAGTTTGTGAGAACATCTGTTCACATCCCAGATAACACATCAAATTAAGGCTCATTTTCGAATATTCACACGGAAAAAGGCTCAGAAGGAAAAGAAAAGCTTAAATAGATCAGGGGCGACGGGACCGAGTTACAGTAAACGGTTAAATAATCCGGATGATTTATCGGAATGATGAGGAAATTTAGGAATAAATAATGACAAAGCCTGCTCAGGCAGCGAGCAGGTCTGCTTCTTGTCCCGACACGAACACAAATGGATTCACCAACATCTTGTTGTAGCCATAACGTTTTTGCCTCTGTCTGCATTTTTTGTGTTTGTCTGCAAAAACATCTCGTGAAGCACTGAGCAGGTGGTAATAACTCTCAGAGTCATCAAAAGTGAGCAAAACTCCGTTTTACAGATGCTGATCCAAACATCTAACAGCTGAACGGCGTTTACAACGTCTACTTACTGAGCTGCTGAAGGTCTCCGGTAGAACGTTTTCTAGGTTTGGGGGAAATAAATAATGTTTAGATAGTAAATAATGTTCTTCATTTTAATGTGTCTCATCTTTAGTTTCATAAGTACTAAAATTTGATTTCTAGAGACAAATTTTCTCTTAAAGCACAAACTTTTATTATAATATCCCAAAAAACATGATTAAAGCATATCTGCTCTGTGCTCAAAAAATGGTAAATTGCCTGTATTTGATATAGCACCTTCTAGAGTCCTGGAACCCCCCAAGGCGCTTTACAACACAATCATTCACCCATTCACACACACACATTCACACACTGGTGGGGATGAGCTACGATGTAGCCACAGCTGCCCTGGGGCGCACTGACAGAGGCGAGGCTGCCGAACACAGGCGCCACCGGTCCCTCCGACCACCACCAGCAGGCAACGTGGGTTAAGTGTCTTGCCCAAGGACACAACGACAGCGACAGGCTAGCGGGGCTCAAACCTGCAACCTTCCGATTACGGGGCAAGCCCTTAACTCCTGTGCCACCGTCGCCCCTAATACGTTTTTATGATTGATTTGGTTTGGAATGGGCTCCTGATTTTAACTTTTAGCTTAATAAAACTTGATAATTGGGTTTTTTAAAGAGCAACTCACCCCCAAAACAACTTTTTTTTGCTGATAAAACTACGTAAATGAGTGTCTAATAGTGCTGTAGGCATGTGTAGTCAATAGTTTAGCACTTTAGTGCATCTTAGTTCAATTTAAATGTTGTAGCAAAAACTGTCAGTGCTGCACCATCTTCTGGTTAAAAAATTAGCACTACTTTTGAATTTAAAGAGCAAGTCACCCCCTACCAGAGTATTACTCCACTCCCACTTCCCGTTTGAAAAATGCAACAAATGCTGTTGCCTAGCAGACCGAGAGGGTGGAGCGGCTAACAAATACAAACACACAGGCTCACAACGACATTGTGACATCATATGGTACCAGCTAACATTCTAGGGTACCTCTTAGCCAACAGTGATGGCAGATTTAAATTCAAATGCAGTGCAGAGTTTTTACCTGACAACGGCACAACACTGACAGTTTTAGGCAGAAAATGAAAATTTTAACAACAATGCACTAAAGTGCAAAACTATTGACTACACGTGTCTGCAGCACGATTAGACACGCATTTATATAGTTTATCAGGGGAAAAAAGTTGATTTGGGGGTGACTTGCTCTTTAAACTTGCGCAGGGGTCGGCAACCCGCGGCTCTTCCATCCTTCTGACGCGGCTCTCTGTGCTTGTAAAATAATGAATGGATATTTAAATAAAATGCTTTATATTTTATCGACAGGCGGATTGGTTCGGCATCTGCAGTGATGCGGACGCTGAGCCGATCTGTCGTGGTGAAGAGGGAGCTGAGCCAGAAAGCCAGGCTCTCGATTTACCGGTCGATCTACGTCCCAATCCTCACCTATGGTCATGAGCTTTGGGTAATGACCGAAAGAACGAGATCGCGGATACAAGCGGCCGAAATGAGTTTCCTCCGTAGGGTGGCCGGGCTCAGCCTTAGAGATAGGGTGAGGAGCTCGGACATTCGGGAGGGACTCGGAGTAGAACCGCTGCTCCTCCGGATCGAAAGGAGCCAGTTGAGGTGGTTTGGGCATCTGGTCAGGATGCCTCCTGGACGCCTCCCCGGGGAGGTGTTTCGGGCATGTCCTGCCGGCAGAAGGCCCCCGGGTCGACCCAGGACACGTTGGAGAGGTTACATCTCCAATCTGGTCCAGGAACGCCTTGGGGTCCTGCCGGAGGAGCTGGTGGACAAGGCCGGGGAGAGGACGGCCTGGAGCTCCCTAATTGGGATGCTGCCCCCGCGACCCGGACCCGGATAAGCGGAGGAAGACGACGACGACGGCTTTATATTTTACTGCATATATTTTACATCTGTAAGCCAATTCTAAATGTAAAGATCGTCTGCGTAAACCTGAACCGGTCCAACCCGGTCTTACTGTGAGACCGGGTTGACGGGCCACCTGCTTGTGCGTAATCAGACGTCTCTATAGGAGCTTTCTGAGCTGAAGAGGATGTGAGCTTCTGGACTTTTCCCTCAGACAGGCTCCTGGACGCGTCGCCACATTGGAGACAGGAACAAGCGCTATTCAGCCAAAGTTTCATCATCAGGGAACATTTTCTAAGCGCCAAGTCTCTGAGAGACCGGGTTTGGAAAACATGCTTCAGTGGGAGGAACCTTCCCGCATGACTCTGGTTCTGCGACGCGCTCCAAGCCCCTCTCCACATCTTCAGCTTGCTGTGCACCGTACGTACGCGCTGACAGCGAGCTGCGCTGAGCAGTGTCCAGCTCAGACGTTCTGATGGAAGTCTTTTCTTAAGTGATTTAGCTATATCTGCGATGTGCGTAGAATAAAATATCACTTCGTCTGCATGCGTCGGGGTAATTCTTTCTATTCTTTCTCCGTCAAAATAAACGGTCAAACACGGGAACTGTCCGGTCAACACAACACAAGCCCTGCCTTTAACTGTTCTGTTTTCTTGTGAAAATTGTTGCAAAGAGATGAAATTAAACTGGATTAACACCAGAGCCAGACGCGCTGGGCCGTTATCTCCGTCACTGTAAATGAGGGGAAAACACATCGATCGGATCCTTTTCTGACCTTTCCCACCTACGAAGTTTAATTACAACAATCTAACGAGACAGAGCCGGGATTTGTATTCTGAACAGTTTAAACATGTTTTAAAAAGAGACGAGTGTGACAAACGTGGCATCTGCTCAGTAAAACCACTAATGAGGTGAAAAATATCAACATATTGTAGACGGGCTACAACTTCTGGATCTATTTTATACAAATCGTTTAATTGATTATCTTCTGTTGAAAGATAACTCGACGTGCACGAGCGACCGGTATTGGCTGCTGTCACCTGTTGTGATTGGTTAACTTACCTCACTTTAGAGCATTTTTTTGTGCTCTAATGACTTTAACGTTAGAAAATTTAAACATTGGGTAAGGGTTAAAGCAGCTCTCTGCTGCTGTGGCTCCCAGTGTTTTCTTTACTGTGGGAAACGGGTAATAATGGCTGTTTGATGGGAACAGGTTGATGACCCCTGACCTAGAGGTACACTATGACGTTAGCTGGTACATTATGATGTCACAATGTCGTTATGAGCCTGTGTGTGTATCTGTTTGTTTGTTAGCGGCTCCGCCCTCTTGGTCGGCTAGGCAACAGCATTTTTTGCATCTTGCAAACAGGAAGTGGGAGTGGAGTAAGACTCTGGTAGGGGGTGACTTGCTCTTTAAATGTATTTTCGTCTAATTTTTTGTTATTAGAAATGTTTTCTGCATTGCCTGGCAGCATTAGCAGCAATAAACAGCTAAAGGGACTAATAAACAAGCTTAACTTACAGTAATTCTCTATTCTTCCTATAAAAATGAAAATAGAGCTCACATTTAGGTTATGTGTACTTGCTGTCAGCCCCCCACCCCGGTGGATCCTGTTGCACCCTGGAATAAAAATCCAAAGATGTGATCTGCTTCTTAATTCTGCCTTGAATGCAGATCTGGTTGTTTTTCGTAGCAGAGACAGAAGCAGGAGAGTAGATCTGTGGTGTTTCCCATCCATCTGAGCCTGTTAAGTTTATGTAAGCAGCCTGGAGCTGTAAACAAGTGGCGCTCTGTGTCCAAGCCTCCGCGCTGGACAAGGCCCGAAGGACAAAGAAGATGAAAAAACAGGAGAGGAAGGGGGTTGGAGTTCAGGTAAAAGAGATTCTGGAAGGAGAATTTTCACTTCCTTTACCCAAAATCCACCTGACTCATCGCTTTTCTTGCAGAGAGGCAAAGGAAACCCGGGACACTTCAGAGGTTGTAGATGTGTCAGGTTAATCCTGTAGATGAAAACATTAGCGGCACCAACATGCTGCTGCTTGTACCGAGCTGGCAGACGGCGGCGCGTTTGTGGGGAGAGCCGAGTCTGCGTGTCGGTCGACTGTCAGCAGCAAGATAAAAACCCTTGGTGCAGAAATACAGGTTTACACGGCTCTGATGAAAGAAAAGGAAGAAACAGGCCAATTAAATCCCACATTCCTCTTGTTTTTCATTTGTTGCTGCTGCTATGATCTTTGTAATGATAAATCACCTAAAGTAATACATAAAAACACCAAAGAAAACGTATTAAAACTTTTGGTTGTAAAATGAAATCAAGAAGTAAATAATGACTAGTTCAAGGGTTTTTGCTCTGTTTTATGCTAATCTGTAACAAAACATCTCCAGTCTTATTGTGATTTGATTATTAAAGGGACTTTACAGAGTTTAAATTTTTATGCTCGCGACTGCCCCCTCAGGCCAAAAGCGTAACGGCAGCTTCAATAGTAGGCTCGTGCACGAGGCGCGCATGTTGTACGTGCACACTCCTTAACGAAAATAACAGCTGAGACAGTCCCGTGTGTGTGTGTGTGTGTGTGTGTGTGTGTGTGTGTGTGTGTGTGTGTGTGTGCGTGCGTGTGTGTGTGCGTGCGTGTGTGTGTGTGTGGCCCGGAGGACAGGAGAACGTGCAGCTAATTAATTAAATAATGTGGTTCTGTAGCTTTCTCTTCAGCACAGCGACAAAGGTTTATGATGGGTCAGTCCTCCTGCATGCTCAGATCATTCCCTTCCCTTGCTTGAAAAATTGTTCCAAAATGAAAGTTGAACCCACATCTTTTTAATCTGTGAATTCAATGCCGTTCAGCGAGTCTCAAATAAAAATTTGGGCATCTTACTGTAAAAAAATATACCATTAATGTAAAAAAGAAACTCTAAATAAACTATGTTCACACCCAGAATCAAACCCAGGTCTTCTGAATGAGAGTCAGACATCTTACTAGGAGAGCTAAAGCGCCAGTGATGTCCTTTGTATCTGTAACATTTATATCCTTGATGACAGCTGAAACAAAGAACGGTTCGGAGTGAAAATGGCTGTTTTGTTGCTAATTAGCAGGAAATATCTAGAAGAAAGTTCTACAGAAAGTAGCTAAGGGTCCTCAGAAATGTAGCTAGCTTTGTCACTAGGCGTTAGGAACAGCGACAAAGTGGCACTGCCTCTCTCTCTGCTGCTAAAGCTACGGATAGCAAATGCTACGGGCGATGCCTGAGCGTGAACGCGCATGAAGCAGCCTGCTCGACCCGAGCATCTCTCTTTTTCTGTGATTTTACAGAAAAACAGGCAATCAGAGTAAAAATGCCAGGGCTCATTCTACAGGACCAGGACATTGCAGGAGAACGTATGAAGAAGACATTTATTATTTCTATACATGTTTTGGCTGTCACACTTCCATAACGCCCTTTTAAATAATGTCATATTTCCTCAAACCGCAAGGACTCCAGAATTTCCAAGATTTTGATTCAGTCGACCACAAGAAGGTTTTTTTCCACTTCCTGTCCACCAGATCCCCAAACACTTTGTCTCTCGCCTCCTCCACTGTTTAGTTATTCTTTCTTTTTTTGTCTCAGTCGTTGTGTGATTTGTTTTTCTTTGTGAACACGGTGGTTGGTGAAGAAGATGGTGAATTGGATCTTGTTCTGATAGTTTAAACTGCCGACCTCCTTCCTGTTTGGGTTTTCACTCACATCCTGTCAACCTCGGATCCTCCACGTTCTCCTGTTGTGGGATAAATGTTTCTGTATTACACAAGCTTTGTTTTACCCACGCAGTGTTTTCCTGAACACACACTCTCTGCTGCAGCCCGGCTCTTTTACGTTTCACAGATAGAAACGTTTTTCTCTGAGGAGTACGACTCTTTTTCTTACTCGTGTTTTTGGTGTTTCCACGAGCAGCGGCTGGCCGAGGGAGGATGTCCACTCTGAGGAGGAGGAGGAGATGCACAGCTCAGACGAGGAGGAAAACAGCTCCACCTCCAGTAAGGAGCACCTGGACGAAGCCGACAGACAGGTAATTAAAGGGGAATTCACTCATTTGCTGGCTCACCGTGTAGCAACGAGGTGGAAACGTTTGCTCGTGTGGCTGAACATTGTCAGGCTTGTTGAATGATAATGACCTGCACTTGTGTAGCGCCAGAGGACTTAAAAGCGCTTTACACTACAGCGTATCATTCATCCATTCATACTCTGATGGTGATGAGCCACAGTGTAGCCACAGCTGACCTGGGGTGCACTGACAAGAGCTGAGGCTTCTGAGCATGGGCGCCACCGGTCCCTCCGACCACCACCAGTAGGCGGGGAGGGTTAAATGTCTTGTCCAAGGACACAACAGCATAATTCTCTGCCGGAATCAAACCTACAACCTTCCGATTACTGGACAACCTGCTCTACCGCTGCCCTGATAAGCCTGCATAGGTTTAAAAAGTTCAGATTGTAGAAGAGCGTCACGCCGTGAGTTGGGGGAGGTTAGGACCCAAGGTGCACACCCAGGATGACACAAGGCAGGAGTAGTGAAAAGGTAAAAATCCTTTATTTAGGGGTAAATCCAAAAGGCTGGAAGCCAAAAACCAAAAATCCAAGAATCAAAACCTGGGAATATCCAAAAACACAAGAGACCTAGAGAAAATCCAAATACCTAGAGAGGGGGGCGAGACAACGCTGACACAAACAATGTACCGACAACCACACAGACAGGGTTATGTACACAAGGGCTGGGTGAGTAGGGAATTGTGCACAGGTGAGACCAATAAACAGAGGAGGAGCACAACGGAGCAAGGGAGGAAACCAGACCTGAAAATGGGGAAGGGAGCAAAGTGAACTAGAGAGAGAAAACAGACTAGATAAAACAGTTAACAGAAGACTAATGATAAAAGGTGTCTAAGAAAAACGTAAGGGAAACCTAGAGAGCCTGGAGGGGGCTGGGGACACACAGGGACGCTGAAACCTGGGGGGAACACCGGGTAAAAAACCTGGAGTGGCCTGGAGAACACAAGGAGACACATGAGGGAGACACAGGACGCAGACCATGACAGAGTTTGGGTCAAATGTGTGTTTGTGTACAAAACTCTGCTAAAATGGTCGTGTCTCTAAAATTTAAAGTGTTTATGTTTATGTATTTAGCAGACGCTTTTGTCCAAAGCGACTTACAAGTGATAATGGGCATGTTGCCCTTGAGGCTAACAACAACAATAACAACAACAACTTGACATCAGTCATGGAGAGGAGGGAACAAGGAGTGGACAGTAGAGAGGGGGGACGGGTGCAGGGAGGGTGCTAGTTTAGAAGATGCTCTCTGAAGAGCAGGGTCTTCAGGAGTTTCTTGAAAATTGAAAAGTAAGCCGCTGTTCTGGTAGTGCTTGGAAGGTCATTCCACATTTGTGGAACGATGCATGAGAAGAGTCTGGATGGTCCTGAGCGTGGTGTAGGCACTGCTAGCCGACGATCCTGTGATGACCGGAGCGGCCGGGCCGAGACGTAAGCCTTTGCAAGAGGATTCAGGTCGATGGGAGCCGTACCATCTCGGACTTTGTATGCTAGTGTTAGCAATTTGAATTTGATGCGTGCTGCTAGCGGTAGCCAGTGGAGCTCAATGAACAGAGGGGTGAAGTGTGCTCTTTTTGGCTGATTGAAGACCAGACGCGCCGCTGCGTTCTGGACCAAAAGTGCAAAATATCCTTATAAAAAATGTGGTTAACTCATTTAATCAATACATTTGTAGTGGTCTCTAGTGAATGAAGGCTTCCTAGGTCGTTCTCTGGGGAATAAAGTTACAGTGCACCAGTTTCAGGAAAAAAAGTTTGTTCCGCTGCCCTCCGTCGTCCGTGACAATGGAAGACAGGCGCTCAGCTCGCTCCGCTGCTGGACGCTAAACTAACAACAGCCTTCCCCGTAGTGAGTCAAGATGGATGAGTCCATGAACGTTAAGTGACAGTGTGACGTAGATGAGTTTCACCGTCTATTTTCCATCAGTAGCTAATGCAGCTAACTGCGGGGCCCTCTGCCTCAGCGGTGGTGGTCCACTGTGGCGGCGTGGGCGCCCCTAGGGAGTGCTTAGACGGTGATGGGGGTTTCCACCCTCCCTCCCTGGGCGCCCTGGGTTGGTGCCTCTGCTGCTGCCGTCGATCAACTACTGCCGAGGCAGATGGCTCACCTGATGGCGTGTCATTCATTACCTAACCCATCTGAACTCAGCCTAGTTGTGTGTGTGTGTGTGTGTGTGGGTGGGTGGGTTATACGGGGTCATTTTAATCTGTAAAGCACTTTGAGCTGCATTCTTTTTGTATGAAAAGTGCCATACAGATAAAGTTTGATTGACTGAGATAGGTGTAGGAGACTATTTTCATGTTCAGCCTGCATGAAACAATCAGAGTGACCCGTTATAATCATTTAAAAAAGGATTTTACTCAACCACACAGTTAAAAAGAAACTCGCTGAAACACTCGAAAATGTCAACTTTAGACATGAGATAGTCCGTTTTATCGGGCTAATATTTACATTTTTTATATATCGGCCTTGTCTGATCTTCCTCTTAGCCGATCTAAAAACAGGCACATCCACGGGCATCCCGGTGCTGCTGCAGCATTTTAATTTAATTGTTTATCTACATTCCTGTAAAACAACTGCTTAATAAATGCTCCAGAACCTAAAAGTCAGCCGAGCTTTCTTTTTATTGACCTGATTTATGTTCAATACTTAGTTTATTGATGTTTGATTACTTTATTTGATTTTAATACTGAGCACCAAATTTAATATATCAAGAGTTGTTTAAATCCCATGTTTAAAGCATCTGCTGCTGCTATAGGGAGCCCATCTGCGTCCAGACCACGGAAGAACGAAAACGTGAACGCGAGTCAAAGCGGCTAAAAACGCGTTTTTCTAATCCCGCTTGTTGTGGGCCACGGATGGTGTCCATGAATTTTAAAGACTCATTCTGATGCCAAGAAGGTGCTTATATTCAAATTTGTGTGAAAATACTTCCATGACTAAAAATGTGAATTAGGGAACTTTGAATCCTTCTTTCAGGAAGCAAGAACCATCATCAGTCTGGCCATGTGGTAAGTCGCAGCTGCGCTGGGGAGAGGAGGTTCTGTGGTGACGACGTTGTGCCCATGTCTGATTTGTAGTCATAGTAATTACGAATTTTTACAAGCTGATAAATCTCAAAGTACGTGACTGGCGTGGATGAAACACACGTCATTACTTTTCACTTAAATTGAAGTACAGCATATATGTGATCCAGGGGCGTAAGGCAAAGCGGGTTAGAAAATAGCTCTTTTAGTCCCGCTGATGTGCATTTTATTTTTTCGTTCTCCTGGGGACCCATGAGCCGACCGGAAAGGGGTGAGACTTATGGGCCATTCCCATCTGTACCTGGTCGGCCCTGCCCGGATAGCTCCAGTCGGCCCCAGCCTGGCCCGGTTGATTCCACACATCTTTGCTTAGGAATGCAGTCAGAGACATTATCAGCTTCTAGGTAATCAGCATGATAATGAATAATGATGAATTGAACATAACTTAAGCCCATGTGGGCTGATTCTACCCACCAATCAGATGGAAGGTGTGAATTTGCTGACTGATAAAGCTTGGTTTATGCTTGACGCGCCCGCGAGGTCCGCACGGCTCCGCCACGCCCCTCCACCGCGCCTCCGCACGGCCCAAACTTTCCGCACCGCCTACTTAAGTTTTCTAACCACGCAGACGGTCGAACACGGAAAAACATGGCGGACTGGCAAGAACTAGTATGGCAGAGGTTGGTAAATACAGACATGTGTATGATCCAGCTCTCAGAGATCACCGTGATCAACATGTTGTTAATAATTCTTGGAGAGAAATAGCTCGCACTGTCGGAAAAGACGAGGACGCTGTTAAAAATGCTGGACTGCCATGTTGTAAACAGTAATTTTTACTTCTACTATGGTGTAGTGTTGGATGCATGCCGTAGAGCTCCATGCTGCCCCCTACAGTTTGGGAGAATATTGGCTCACCGCAGAGACGAGCCGCATGAACCATAAACGCTGCGAGTTGTGAAGCGCGTTCCATCCGCGAGCCGCATCACCGCGCGGAAAGTAAATGCGTCAAGCGGTTTATCAGTCAGCAGTGGGTGTGTTGGCCCTGGTCGGCCTGAAGCAGACCACCTCAAACAGAGGGCTGACAAACAGTCTCGCTGCACCCTGAAAAAAGGCAGGCCACCAAGATATATAAGCGAGCTGTGCTATCCGGGCCGGGCCGACCAGGTACAGATGGGAATGGCCCATTAGGCTCCCTATTAACATTTTAGCTTGCAGAATAGGCAGAACCGTCTAGATGATGTAGATAAAAATCTGCTCCAAAAATGGCCGTTGGTATCAGGAAGAAAAAGAAGCTCATCGGTGGATTTCTAGTTTTGATCTTTTTGACATCTTTCTGTTTAAATCTGTTTGTTTTTTTGCTACTTTTTTCTCTTCTTCTTTGTTTTATAGCTTCAGTTCCCCCTCCTCCCCCTACTTTTAAACTTTTTCCTTACGTTCTACTTTTTATTACATTTGTTTGTTTTGGTTGGGCAATGATGGCACAGGAGTTTAGTGCTCACCCTGTGACTGGAAGGTTGCAGGTTCGAGCCCTGCTCAGTCTGTCGCTGTGTCCTTGGGCAAGACACTTAACCCACCGTGCCTGCTGGTGGTGTTTGGATGGACCGGCGGCGCCTGCATACGGCACACTCGCCTCTGTCTGTGTGACCCATGGCAGCTGTGGCTACAGTGTAGCTCATCACCACCAGGGTGTGAATGAGTGAATGACTGGTTGGGGTGGTCAGGACTCTAGAAGGTATCAAATACAGACGATTCTTTTCTACATGTTTAAAAAACGTTTGTACTCTTTTATTTTTACGTTTGCTGCTTCGGCTGCAGATCTGGAACATCAGATTTGGATCTGGAACAGTTTTTTGTTTAGTAAAATAGTCTCTTTTTGAGTGTGTGTGTGTGTGTGTGTGTCCTGAAAGAGTGGCAGGATCAGGAATAGCTCGGTCACTCACTGAGGCTTTTTTTTTCCTGTCTTCGTCCTGTGTGACCCTCTTCATGATCCTGTCAACACTTGTGTCTGAAGCCCATCAAAGCTCCACAAACACACACCCAGATAGGACCAGTAGGACATCAGGGGCCAAGGCCCCAGTCCAAATTAAGTCGCAGAGAGACCGCCCCGTTAGCATTCAGCTGCAGAGAGACACAAAAGGTTGTTGCTGTGCTGCACTCCCACAGAACATCGATATTATTTAAACACCGGGCGGTGGTTATCATGGTGATCTGCAGCGAGGCTGTGAGTGATCCTCCTTCTGTTTCCACCCGTTTCCAAAGTCGACTCACTATTTTTGTTTCCCGTCTTTCAGCAGGAGGATGAGAGGAAGAGAAAGAAGGTGGTGCACATCGCCCAAGAAATCATGAGCTCAGAGAAAGTGTGAGCTCTCCTCGACACAAAATCCAGATTAGCATCGGCTGTAAATATTCGTATTTGGCTGATTTTTACTCTTTCATCAGGTTTGTGGACGTCCTGAAGCTCCTGCACATAGTAAGTGTCTTATAAGCACGCTACTGACTGTTCTGTTCTTAAAGCTCACTTAAGATCTGTGTGATGCTCTTTGGGCTGCAGCCGGCAGGATGATTCCTGACCTCAGACACGGTAGTGCAGAAACGTCTGCTTTGTTTTGTTTCTTATGGCTGCTGTGCACGTAACCCATACAGGCCAGTGGCGGATTAAGGTGTGTGTGTGTGTGTGTGTGTGTGTGTGTGAGACCTATCTTCTGTAATAGTTTCACAAGTTGTCGATGTTGTCAGGCTGTTGTCTCCATCTCACCTGTTTAAAACCTCCCAGGTGTGTCCTGCTTAAAAAAAGTTTCATCACAGAGGAAAAGTTTGTCTTTAATCCCTTAAAGCAGCAGAGTTTTCCCCCTTTCAAGGTTTATATGTCTTTTTTTTTAGAAATCTGTAAAAGTGGTCGTCATACCTCGTACTGTGATATAATGTAGGCATCTCCTGTCCCATAGAGCCCCATGCAATTTGAATTGGCCATCATGAATGATAAATGACCCGCACTATTGACCCTTTGCACCGACGTCACCTAATCACGTGGGTCCACCAGCATGTAAACGGTGAGCGACACGAGTACTAAACAAAGGGAAAAGTAGAGCCTGAAATTGTTTTTGCGATCAAAACAAAAACAAAACTCCTCCAGAGTTCCTTCAACTAGTCCATGCCCAGTTCAGTTATCAGAAGGAGTAGCGCATCTAGCGGGGGCTCATAGAGAGCGGTACGCTAACTAGCTTAGCAACGTTAGCTTACGTTCTCTCTGCAGCTGTTCATCGACGTAAACATGTTGCTGACTTTGCCTGAATTCACCCCTCTGGATTTATAACTTTATGTTGTAAACAGCGTTTCACTTTACACCAAAGCTGATTGTTAGAAAGTCCGGATCCCTACCAGCTTCTGTTGCTGGTGGTGGTACCGGGTTCAGCTGCTGCTCCCACACCGGAATGAGAAGATCTCTGAACGCCGACGCTCATATAAATAAATAAATAACGTCATTTTAACACACGTAATCATACATCAGAGCTTTAGGCCCTGTCCACACGTAGCCGGGGATCTGCCTAAACGTAGGTATTTTTCTACGTTTTTGCCTGTCATCCACACGAAAACGGAGTTTTTTCACACGAAAACGGATCTTTTTAAAAACTCCGGCCAAAGTGAAGATCTGCGTTTTCTCCGTTTTGGGTGTCTGCGTGTGGACAGACAAAACCGGAGTTTTAAGGTCCGCAACGTCACTTTCCGCGACTAAAAAATGCTGACATCACGTGTGCGACCTGTGTTTACACTAGCCGACAGCATGGATGCCCTCAGAGCTGCGCTCGCTTTATCAATTGTCCAAGCGCTTTCTGCTTGTTTGTTGTTGCAAGCGGAATTACTGCTCCTTGCGGAAGACCACAGACGAAGGACGAGGTTAAGAACGGGGGAAGTACTGCCGCCTACAGGTCTGGCATGTCCTTAACAACGTATTTATCCGGGTACGTGTGGACAGAGTTTTTATTTAAAACGCGGTGGTGTGGATGCAAGTTTTTGGAGGGGCGGATATTCGTTTTTAAAAAAATCCGGCTACGTGTGGACTAGGCCTGAATATTGTTAATAATTATCTCGCTTTACACTACAGTGGACGGAGCGCAGCCTCCGTGGTGAAATACCCATCCATCAGGATTATCAATAACCAGTATAAACACATCTCATGTATCCCTGTCCCTGTCTTCCTCGTGAAATAAATGAATGTTAATATTACCCGCTAAAAACATGTTCGCCGCTAATCTGAGGCCTGCTAGTCCGCTTGATTGATCGCTGCAGTTCATCTCCGTCCTCAGTCTCCATCAAAGTTATTAAGAAAAAACGAGTTGAGTTTACGTCCTCGTCTGTTAGTGCAGCCGACCACGCAGCAAGCTAAAACCATTTTACTGTCACATCAACTCAATAAAAGTGATAAAAGGCTACAAACTGGCTTGTTTTGACTAGCTTCACTGGAGTTTCTACGGGTGTAAACGGTCTTTTTGCCGTCCATCATGGCGAAGGGGGCGGTCACGAGTGGCGTGACGTCACGTGCAAAGAGTCAATATGGTGCCTTTCTGAGTCAGAGGACTCCAACGTGCTTTACATTATAGTGTATCATTCAGCCGTTCACTTCCTGGTGGTGATGAGCTTCATTGTAGCCACAGCTGCTCTGGGGCACACCAACAGCGTCAGCCAATAACGTTACACATCCACTTACTACAGACGTCAGTCACAGAGCGTGCACGAGCATTTGAGGAGGTACCTTTGTGGAAAATTAAGTCTTTAAAACCATATATAAATAAACAGGACAATGTGACAATAATAACTGAGAAGCAGGAGGGCTGGAGCACTCAGATGAGCACAAACATTTGAATAGGTGCAGACAACAGAAACTAGCATTTCAACACCTATTCTCTGGGACAGGGCGGGCATTTCCTGCATTATACCACAGTACACGATAAAACAATTACTTTTATGGGTTTTTAAAATTTCATACATAATTCCTGAAAGGGCAAAACTCCGGATAGCAGCTTTAATGTCCACGCTAATAAAAAAGCGATGACATTTGTTTTCGTTAACTTAAGACTTGTATACAGGGCTGTAAAAGGTAACATGTCATTAGTAATTAAAATATGAATTAATGCTGACAAATATTTTATTGTTTTTATTAGGGATGTTTATTGGTGAAATTCTGGCAATACAATATGCATCACGATACGGGGGAGACGATACAATATATCACAATATATTGCGATACATTCAGCCAGACAATAGTAGCGATTTTTTTAGACTGAATCTATTGTAGGAAATTTCAACAAACTGTCCAAACTGATACTTAACATGTTTATCGTGATGTATCTGAACCATAATAAAGAGATTTACATTTCAACAGTGGAAACAAAACCCACTGCACACTGCTGCCAACTAGAAGTCGGCGTTTGAATTGCACCAAAGGAAATAAATACACAAATGTTTGCATGTGAATTCTTCCCAAAAGTCGATACGCGGCTTTTGAATATCGATATAATATTGCAGGAAACAATATCACGATATATTGCCATATCGATATTTTCTTACATCCCTAGTATTTATGCATTTTTCTTACAAATTCATGAACATGGATTCTGCAAGCGCGCACTAAACCCGAGAGAAGAAGTTAGAAAGTTGTGAGTTAAATATGAAACAGGATTCGTGTGCGCAGAAGCATCTGCACGAGTGACGGGGCTAAACACTGTATTAAAGTGGAAGTAAAATTTACTGTTTTCTGATGCTGTCCTCCATCAAACTGTTTAAAAATACCAATAACTATTTAGTTGTTGTTTTTTGCTACACTTGCCATTATGATGTTTTTCACCCTTTTTTGGTAAACAGTTTAAAATATAGGGACTGGTGTGTTGTTGTTTTTTTAACTTTCTTTGTTTATTTAGCCAGAGTAAGTCCATGTGAGATGAGCAGAGTAATCAACTAAAATGCTGCTTGGAAATGACCACATTCAAAGATATTTAGAGACAAAATATTTAGCAGGAAAAAAAATAGAAAAACATGAACTCTGCTTCAGCTGCTTCACCTGTCCACACGTAGCCGGGGATCTGCCAAAACGTAGATAAGTTTCTACGTTTTGGCCTGTCATTCACACGAAAACGGATCTTTTTAAAAACTCCGGCCAAAGTGAAGATCTGCGTTTTCTCCGTTTTGGGTGTCTGCGTGTGGACAGACAAAACCGGAGTTTTAAGGTCCGCAACGTCACTTTCCGCGACAAAAAAATGCTGACATCACGTGTGCGACCTGTGTTTACACTAGCCGACAGCATGGATGCCCTCAGAGCTGCGCTCGCTTTATCAATTGTCCAAGCGCTTTTTGCTTGTTGGTCTTTGCAAGAGGAATTACTGCTCCTTGTGGAAGACCACAGACGAAGGACGAGGTTAAGAACGGGGGAAGTACTGCCGCCTACAGGTCTGGCATGTCCTTAACAACGTATTTATCCGGGTACGTGTGGACAGAGTTTATTTTTAAAACGAGGTGGTGTGGATGCAAGTTTTTGGAGGGGCGGATATTCGTTTTTTTTTTTTTTAAAAACGGCTACGTGTGGACTAGGCCTGAATGTTATGGCCACCAGCCTGGCCTCTTCAGGTGCAGGAGCCAGGATCAGCCAGCCCCGGTGATCAGCCAGACACCACCCCTCCTCCTCCTCTCCTCCAGGCTGCTGAGGAGCACAGCTGAGATGAATCCCACTGACGACCCACACCTGGTATAAAAAGGCTGTGCCTTCAGCAGTCTGGGTGGCAGCAGTGCAGGGGTTCTGCTGTCCTCCAGACCTCAGAGTTTGGGGTTCAACCCCTTCGTTTTGATGGGTTTTAACTCTGAGTTGATGAGTTTTAAAAAGTTAAAGCTCTGAGTGATCCAGAGGGATCGTTTTTAAGGTTAACTTGGTGGTGCAATTTAATTGACTCTGGTTTTAAACAACTTCTGTTCGGTAGAGCTTTTAATAGAAGTTTTAACTCATTCACTGCCATTGACGACAAAAGTCGTCATTTTAAATCCAAACTTTGAAAATTGCTGGCAGCAAAGGGCTTTACTGACCAGGAACGTCTGGCAGTGAATGAGTTAACCAGGTTTTTAATGTTAACCTTTTTGAGAGTAATTTTGTTTGGCGCATTATTTTAGTAATGCTTACCATCTGTTTGCGCGCTTGCTTTTAAACCTTTTGACAATTAAACCCAATTTTAAATTCGCTGTCATTTTAATGTTACCCCTCCTTCACATTTTAACGACACGTCGGGGTTGTAACATAAATGGGGGCTCGTCCGGGATTTTTAACTACATCAGACCCCTTTATGTTGCAACCCCGACATGTGCTGTTAAAATGCGAAGGAGGGGGTAACCTAAGAAACATGACAGTGAATAAAAATTAAGTTGCTGCCGACACCACCGGGTGTCAAACCCACGTCAGCACATGGCAAAACAGAGATGGCAGGCGCATTGGTAACATAAGAACACTGAAATGAAAAGAATTAACATACAGATAATTAATTATAAGTATTCAAGATTACATGTGTGATCAAACATTTAACTTATCTTAACCTCTGGGCCATCTTAGCTACAGCAACTGACTCACCTAAGACGCTGTTGTTGGCACATTTTGTTGTAGCGGGTGTGGGCGGAGTTTCACTTCAACTGTTTTATTTCCAGGTATAAATTCAGGCTGACAAAAATAACTCTTATTTAAGATAAATGACATCTCGATAGTGCCGACGGTAATATTTTATCAAACACTGTGCCTACCTTTTGTTCTCAAAGGTTTAAAATAGCATGATCTGGAACCTTTAAGGACACTTAATAGTTAACAATACTTAGAACATTAACAAAGGGATCCTTTTATTAATGCTTAATAATGCACTAAATGTTAATAAAGTGACCCTTATTGTAAAGTGTTATCAAATCATTTTTATGAAATAATAAAAGATTCATGTGTTTTAAATGTTTCCACCCTTTAGATGCAACTGAAATACTTGAGAACCTAAAGTTTGAATGGGATTGACTTTTCAATACAAAATAATAGTTAAACTTTTCACTAAGCCCATTGCAGCCGCGGCGTTACGGGTGGGCCTACCGGGCCTGGGCCCACCCACCTGCACACGGGCCCACCCCATTATAGCCGTGAGCCGCTTTGACCAGCAACCAAAGTCAAAGTTATTTTTCAACAGAAGATAATTAATAAAACACTTTGTATTAAATTTACCCAGAAGTTAGTCTGTCTGTGCCTAAAATAAGTTCATGTTATTCATCTTGTTAGTGTAATTTCCATAATAGCGGAGCAGGTGCGGATTTTAGACGCGTCACGCATGTCTCCGTTTAAACATGTTTAAACTGTTCAGGTGGGCTGGATGCTTTGCTTTTACTGGAAGATGGATTTTTTTTAAATGTCGGAGATTTTGCCGCATGAATAATCGTAGAATTTACTGGTGTGCATGTACCCTTATGAACGAGTCCTACATTGAGAGGTAAATATTAGAAGTGCAGGTAATGCATACTGGTGCCGGTCCACTTAACGCACGGGTGTAGACTAAATATAAATGAAAAATGAATGCCAGAATGCCTAAAAAAGACATTTTAGTAAAAATAACAACAAAATGTTTAAAAGTGTCGCCCTACATCAACAACATGCTGTTTTTACCAGCTGACTGTTTTTATTGTTGAGGACTGGAAGGCCTTTATTCAAGTTTACTCCGAAAGCGTTTCCTCGGGGGAACTCCAGGTGGCGCTGAAGGCACTGAATCAGAAAATCACTTTGTGATTAGAGCAGTATTAGTTTGTCCGAGGGAGGGCGAGACTTGGAGCCCTGTCCAAGAATTAGATCACACTCTTCTGACCATGCAGCAGCTGTTTCCTCACACACACACACACAGACCTACAATCCTCGCTCTGTGTCTGTGTGACGTTTGGGTGGACTATGAGACAGTGGGTCAATCAAACTCTTCTGCTTCTTGATGTTTTTGAGTTAAAACATTTAAATGTGATGAGTTTTGTTGCTTATGCCAATTAAACCTACAAACGTGTGTGTGTGTGTGTGTGTGTGTGTGTGTGTGTGTGTGTGTGTGTGTGTGTGCGCGCGCGCTCTGGGTAATGCCAAAGTGCTGAGTCATGAAAGGAGAGTTTATGAGGTGATGATCCCCCCAGTCAGTTTTGTGTGTGTGTGTGTGTGTGTGTGTGTGTGTGTGTGTGTGTGTGTGTGTGTGTGACTGTCGGCTCTAACCTGGTGTGTCTCTTCAGGACTTCCGAGATGCTGTTGCCAAGGCGACTCGACAGAACGGGAAGCCGGTGGTGGATGAGCGGGTCCTCAGTCAGATCCTGTACTACCTGCCTCAGCTGTATCAGCTCAACAAAGACCTGCTCAGGGAGTTGGAGGAGAGAGTGGCACACTGGTATACACACACACACACACACACACACACTTCAGGATGTCTATGACATCTCATTAACACCTTTAGACACCGGTATGGTGGCAGCTGAAAGGACATCGTTTATGGTTTATATTGCATCATATCTGAATTATACAGAATCTTTTATTCCTAAATAAAAAATTGCCATTCTTCCTAAAAATAGCCTATCTGAAGCTAGCTCCGCCCCTTTAACGTGATCATCCTCGTAGATATTTGACAGTTATTGACATGTAGGGTGAGACTAAAACTGATCAGCAAACATCCCTCTGGTCAGTTAATCAAATGATCTGACCAAGGCAGCGGTTTCTGTCTTACAGGAGCGAGCACCAGAGGCTGTCGGACATATTTGTTCAGAAAGGTCCGTACCTGAAGATGTACTCCACCTACATCCGCCAGTTTGACAACAACGTGGCTCTGTTGGACGAGCAGTGCAGGAAGAACCCTGCGTTTGCTGCAGTTGTCAGAGAATTTGAGGTAGATTTCAAATCTAAAATGAGCTTTTGGTATATTTTTGTTACAAAATTTAACTTGTGATTTTAACAACAAATCGTGTGTGTGTGTGTGTGTGTGCGTGCATGCGTGTGTGTGTGTTCTCAGATGAGTCCGCGGTGTGCAAGTCTAGCTCTGAAACACTACCTGCTGAAACCAGTACAGAGGATCCCTCAGTACCAGCTGTTGCTCACAGGTACAAACCTCTTCTCCAGCCGGTCAAAGGGTCATCACATCAGGCAGCAGGAGAATCAAATTAGGACTCAATCTGGATTAAAATCCCTGTGTGATTTCACACGGCAGTGCCCCCTAGTGCTCGGTCAGGTTGACAAACTATGGTTTTGAACTGATTTTCTTTGCTTGTTTAGTGGAATAAAAGAGGCCGTCTGCACCCGATGCACCTTATTATTTTATAAATGAGCATTTCAGGCTGTCCCTTCAAGTTCTGTGTTGTCTTTTTTCTGTCTCGAGTTTGATGTTACTAACATAAATGTTTTCACGTGACAGCAGGTGAAGATTTAAATGATCAGGTAAACATTTAGGTTAAAATTAGGGATCGGGTGTTTTAGCCCTCGAGTCCGAGTCATTTGATTTAGAGAATCTGCCGATACCGAGTCCCGATCCGATACTTTCGATACGTAAAAAAAGAAAAACAAGAAAAGGAAGAAACAGTTCCTGAATGTTCCTTATTTTTTATTTAATTGCCTTTTTATTTTAATTTTTTACAACAGATCACTTCTGTGAGGTAGCTGAAACAATCAAGTAATAAATAACACCAATTATTCACTTTGGGACTTTATTGCAAATATAAAAAGTCTAATATAAAAACAGATCGCACTTCAGCTTAAAATACCTGGCAGGGGTCTATTTAGCCTCGGCCCCCAAAATGCTTAGATACGCCCCTGGGCATGGGACGGAGTTCTGAAGATGATCTGAACTGTATCAACTATATAAATACTACATGCTGATAAAGTATTGCTTTATACAGGTACAAACGTGTAGTGGGATCAATCTACCTACATTTTATTTTTTAAGAACTTTGTTTTGTTTTCTTGGTTTTTATTTTCCTATCTTCCTGTCCTGTCTGTCTCTGATTTTCCTGTCCTGTCTGTCTCTGACCTTCCTGTCCTGTCTGTCTCTGACCTTCCTGTCCTGTCTGTCTCTGACCTTCCTGTCCTGTCTGTCTCTGATCTTCCTGTCCTGTCTGTCTCTGATTTTCCTGTCCTGTCTGTCTCTGATTTTCCTGTCCTGTCTGTCTCTGATCTTCCTGTCCTGTCTGTCTCTGACCTTCCTGTCCTATCTGTCTCTGACCTTCCTGTCCTGTCTGTCTCTGATCTTCCTGTCCTGTCTGTCTCTGACCTTCCTGTCCTGTCTGTCTCTGATCTTCCTGTCCCGTCTGTCTCTGACCTTCCTGTCCCGTCTGTCTCTGATCTTCCTGTCCTGTCTGTCTCAGATTTTCCTGTCCTGTCTGTCTCTGATCTTCCTGTCCTGTCTGTCTCTGATCTTCCTGTCCTGTCTGTCTCTGACCTTCCTGTCCCGTCTGTCTCTGATCTTCCTGTCCCGTCTGTCTCTGATTTTCCTGTCCTGTCTGTCTCTGACCTTCCTGTCCTGTCTGTCTCTGATCTTCCTGTCCTGTCTGTCTCTGATCTTCCTGTCCTGTCTGTCTCTGACCTTCCTGTCCCGTCTGTCTCTGATTTTCCTGTCCTGTCTGTCTCTGACCTTCCTGTCCTGTCTGTCTCTGATTTTCCTGTCCCGTCTATCTCTGATCTTCCTGTCCCGTCTGTCTCTGATTTTCCTGTCCTGTCTGTCTCTGACCTTCCTGTCCTGTCTGTCTCTGATTTTCCTGTCCCGTCTATCTCTGATCTTCCTGTCCTGTCTGTCTCTGATCTTCCTGTCCTGTCTGTCTCTGACCTTCCTGTCCCGTCTGTCTCTGATTTTCCTGTCCTGTCTGTCTCTGACCTTCCTGTCCTGTCTGTCTCTGATTTTCCTGTCCCGTCTATCTCTGATCTTCCTGTCCTGTCTGTCTCTGATCTTCCTGTCCCGTCTGTCTCTGATCTTCCTGTCCCGTCTGTCTCTGATTTTCCTGTCCTGTCTGTCTCTGACCTTCCTGTCCCGTCTGTCTCTGATCTTCCTGTCCTGTCTGTCTCTGATCTTCCTGTCCTGTCTGTCTCTGATTTTCCTGTCGCGTCTGTCTCTGATCTTCCTGTCCTGTCTGTCTCTGATCTTCCTGTCCTGTCTGTCTCTGATCTTCCTGTCCTGTCTGTCTCTGATCTTCCTGTCCTGTCTGTCTCTGACCTTCCTGTCCTGTCTGTCTCTGACCTTCCTGTCCTGTCTGTCTCTGATCTTCCTGTCCTGTCTGTCTCTGATTTTCCTGTCCTGTCTGTCTCTGATTTTCCTGTCCTGTCTGTCTCTGATCTTCCTGTCCTGTCTGTCTCTGACCTTCCTGTCCTATCTGTCTCTGACCTTCCTGTCCTGTCTGTCTCTGATCTTCCTGTCCTGTCTGTCTCTGACCTTCCTGTCCTGTCTGTCTCTGATCTTCCTGTCCCGTCTGTCTCTGACCTTCCTGTCCCGTCTGTCTCTGATCTTCCTGTCCTGTCTGTCTCAGATTTTCCTGTCCTGTCTGTCTCTGATCTTCCTGTCCTGTCTGTCTCTGATCTTCCTGTCCTGTCTGTCTCTGACCTTCCTGTCCCGTCTGTCTCTGATCTTCCTGTCCCGTCTGTCTCTGATCTTCCTGTCCTGTCTGTCTCTGATCTTCCTGTCCCGTCTGTCTCTGACCTTCCTGTCCCGTCTGTCTCTGATCTTCCTGTCCCGTCTGTCTCTGATTTTCCTGTCCTGTCTGTCTCTGACCTTCCTGTCCTGTCTGTCTCTGATCTTCCTGTCCTGTCTGTCTCTGATCTTCCTGTCCTGTCTGTCTCTGACCTTCCTGTCCCGTCTGTCTCTGATTTTCCTGTCCTGTCTGTCTCTGACCTTCCTGTCCTGTCTGTCTCTGATTTTCCTGTCCCGTCTATCTCTGATCTTCCTGTCCCGTCTGTCTCTGATTTTCCTGTCCTGTCTGTCTCTGACCTTCCTGTCCTGTCTGTCTCTGATTTTCCTGTCCCGTCTATCTCTGATCTTCCTGTCCTGTCTGTCTCTGATCTTCCTGTCCTGTCTGTCTCTGACCTTCCTGTCCCGTCTGTCTCTGATTTTCCTGTCCTGTCTGTCTCTGACCTTCCTGTCCTGTCTGTCTCTGATTTTCCTGTCCCGTCTATCTCTGATCTTCCTGTCCTGTCTGTCTCTGATCTTCCTGTCCCGTCTGTCTCTGATCTTCCTGTCCCGTCTGTCTCTGATTTTCCTGTCCTGTCTGTCTCTGACCTTCCTGTCCCGTCTGTCTCTGATCTTCCTGTCCTGTCTGTCTCTGATCTTCCTGTCCTGTCTGTCTCTGATTTTCCTGTCGCGTCTGTCTCTGATCTTCCTGTCCTGTCTGTCTCTGATCTTCCTGTCCTGTCTGTCTCTGATCTTCCTGTCCTGTCTGTCTCTGATCTTCCTGTCCTGTCTGTCTCTGATCTTCCTGTCCTGTCTGTCTCTGATCTTCTTGTCCTGTCTGTCTCTAACCTTCCTGTCCTGTCTGTCTCTGATCTTCCTGTCCCGTCTGTCTCTGACCTTCCTGTCCCGTCTGTCTCTGATCTTCCTGTCCTGTCTGTCTCAGATTTTCCTGTCCTGTCTGTCTCTGATCTTCCTGTCCTGTCTGTCTCTGATCTTCCTGTCCTGTCTGTCTCTGATCTTCCTGTCCCGTCTGTCTCTGATCTTCCTGTCCTGTCTGTCTCTGACCTTCCTGTCCCGTCTGTCTCTGATCTTCCTGTCCTGTCTGTCTCTGATCTTCCTGTCCCGTCTGTCTCTGATCTTCCTGTCCCGTCTGTCTCTGATCTTCCTGTCCCGTCTGTCTCTGACCTTCCTGTCCCGTCTGTCTCTGATCTTCCTGTCCTGTCTGTCTCTGATCTTCCTGTCCTGTCTGTCTCTGATCTTCCTGTCCTGTCTGTCTCTGATCTTCCTGTCCTGTCTGTCTCTGATCTTCCTGTCCTGTCTGTCTCTGATCTTCTTGTCCTGTCTGTCTCTAACCTTCCTGTCCTGTCTGTCTCTGATCTTCCTGTCCCGTCTGTCTCTGACCTTCCTGTCCCGTCTGTCTCTGATCTTCCTGTCCTGTCTGTCTCAGATTTTCCTGTCCTGTCTGTCTCTGATCTTCCTGTCCTGTCTGTCTCTGATCTTCCTGTCCTGTCTGTCTCTGATCTTCCTGTCCCGTCTGTCTCTGATCTTCCTGTCCTGTCTGTCTCTGACCTTCCTGTCCCGTCTGTCTCTGATCTTCCTGTCCTGTCTGTCTCTGATCTTCCTGTCCCGTCTGTCTCTGACCTTCCTGTCCCGTCTGTCTCTGATCTTCCTTTCCTGTCTGTCTCTGATTTTCCTGTCCCGTCTGTCTCTGATCTTCCTGTCCTGTCTGTCTCTGATCTTCCTTTCCTGTCTGTCTCTGATTTTCCTGTCCCGTCTGTCTCTGATCTTCCTGTCCTGTCTGTCTCTGATCTTCCTGTCCCGTCTGTCTCTGATCTTCCTTTCCTGTCTGTCTCTGATTTTCCTGTCCCGTCTGTCTCTGATCTTCCTGTCCTGTCTGTCTCTGATCTTCCTGTCCTGTCTGTCTCTGATCTTCCTGTCCCGTCTGTCTCTGACCTTCCTGTCCCGTCTGTCTCTGATCTTCCTTTCCTGTCTGTCTCTGATTTTCCTGTCCCGTCTGTCTCTGATCTTCCTTTCCTGTCTGTCTCAGATCTTCCTGTCCCGTCTGTCTCTGGTCTTCCTGTCCTGTCTGTCTCTGGTCTTCCTGTCCTGTCTGTCTCTGATCTTCCTGTCCTGTCTGTCTCTGGTCTTCCTGTCCTGTCTGTCTCTGGTCTTCCTGTCCTGTCTGTCTCTGATCTTCCTGTCCTGTCTGTCTCTGATCTTCCTGTCCTGTCTGTCTCTGATCTTCCTGCAACTCCCAGTCCTCCAGAAAAACTCCTGCCTGCTTCCTTCTTTTTCACCTCACAAGTAACTTTTTAACCAGCAGATCAAATTGTTCTATTGACCGCAAAAACAGCGGAGTGTGCGCTGCGCCGCCCGGCTGCGCCAGTGACGAGCGCTGCAGCACGAGCGCTTCCTCACGTCATGCTCAAATACAGACAGAACTTAGCAGAGAGAAAATGAACGGACAGGAATGACTGTGTGTTAATTATGTATTTATGGTGACGTCACTTAGAAACTTAGAAAATGTGACTGTGGCCGTGTGCAGAACGCAGCTGGAGTTCATGAATAATCAGCGGTCTGCCTGCTGCTCTAAACAATCCCCGCTACGCTGAGTCCATATAAATAATATAATAAAGGCAGAAACTGGATCTCCTTTGCGCTCCTTCTGGGTGTGTAAGTTAAGGCCATCAGGGGAGCCTGGCAAACTTTAAGGAGAAGCAGGTTGTGATTTTAACCCAGTTTCCGAGTCCGGATCGGGGCTTGGATCGGGAAGTAAAGTCCGAGTCCCGATCAGTCTGAAACCACGTGATCGGATCGGGACATCCCTAGTTAAAATATCACAATCTAAAATGATGCGTTGAACCAGAATATGGAAAAATAAAATAAAGTTTAGTAAAGATGGAACCTAAAAGTAAAACCAGCTAAAATTTGAAAATAATTAGAAAGAAAATAAAGCTTAATAGAAAAGAAGAGGTAAAATGGTCTAAAATAGTGCAAGAGTCCTGAAGAATAAATGCATTTAAAATCCAAAACGTTTAGTTTTCAGCTTCAAATAAATGCAGCCGGTAAATAAAAACTGAAGATGAATATATTATTACTCAAACTAAATCAGAAGTTTCATAAAAAATTAAAACTCATCATGAAATCAGTTCGTGTTTGAGAATAGAGTGAGTTAATATTTAAACTTTCCTTTCACAGATTATCTGAAGAATCTTCCAGAAGACTTAGAGGATTATAAAGACACACAAGGTTAAATAAAGATCAATGCTGGTCTCTGTCTATGACTTCTGCTGAATTCCTGTCCTAAAACAGTTTATATCTTATTGGATTTCCTTCGTGCAGCGGCGCTCAGCATCGTGAAGGAAGTAGCCAACCACGCCAACGATATAATGAAACAAGGGGTGAGGCTTGGTTCCGTTTCAAACATTCGGTTTTACAATCTCTACGTCTCGTCTGACGGATGCTGGTTCGTTTGTTTGTTTTACAGGATAACTTTCAGAAGCTGATGCAGATTCAGTACAGTCTGAACGGTCAGCAGGAGATCGTGCAGCCGGGCCGGGTGCGTCTGGCGTAGAACCCTCGACATCAGCGTGTGCGTGGTGAAACCCGGTCTAATAGCAGCTTTCTGCAACATGTTGCTGTTTGCAGGTGTTTCTGAAGGAGGGGACGCTGATGAAACTGTCCAGGAAGGTCATGCAGCCGCGCATGTTTTTCCTGGTGAGCAACAATCTCCAATCACGGTGTTTGGTCACGATGCGCCACAGCCGTCAGATGTTAGCATGCACAGGCTAATATTGTATGTTTTTCCAGTTTAATGATGCACTCATGTACACCACTCCAGTCCAGTCTGCCCAGTACAAACTCAACAGTGTTCTGTCTCTAGCTGGGATGAAGGTCAGAAACGTGATGCAAACACAAGATTTCAGGATGCCTGCTTTGATTTTGGTTTATGTTATATGAATGTGACGTTTGAACCCGTTTACCTAACTGTGTCCAGGTGAGTAAGCCGAGTCAGGAGGCTTATCAGAACGAGCTGAACATCGAAAGCGTCGAACGCTCCTTCATCCTGTCTGCCAGGTGCGTGCTCGACCACCACACCTGGATGTAGCTGCACACGTTTTGTTTCTCTGAGCTGATGCTCTTTGTGTCTGCAGCTCAGCTAAAGAGAGAGACGAGTGGCTGGAGGCCATCGGCAAGGCCATCGATGACTACACCAAGAAGAAAATCACTTTTATATCAAGTCGAAGTCAGGAAGAGGTAAAATAATCCCTATTTGGTTTCTTGCTCCAACACATGAGTCGATTGCTCAGCAGCTCATGAAGCTCTACAGAAGTCTGTTAATCACTTGCTGAATAAAATCGGGTGTGTTGTAGCAGGGAAACAGCTAAAACATGCTCCAGGACTGGGTTTGGACACCACATTTTCAGATTGCTAATCAGCCTCTGTTCTTCAGGCGGAGGGCGTTGTCGATAGTGGAGCTCCTCTAGGATCCAAAGCTCCAATCTGGATCCCTGACCTGAGGGCCACCATGTGTATGATCTGCACCTGTGAGTTCACTCTTACCTGGAGGAGGCATCATTGTCGCGCCTGTGGAAAGGTGAGGAACACAGCCATACCCTATTCTCTATGTAAAAATGATGCTGCTCTAATCATAGATCTGTGTCTCCTTCATGCAGGTGGTGTGTCAGGCCTGCTCAGCCAATAAGTACTACCTGGAGTACCTGAAGAACCAACCGGCTCGTGTGTGTGATCACTGCTTTGCCAAGCTGCAGGAGAACAGTAAGTCAGGTTGTTATGGATGGATGGATGGACGGATGATAGTGGATGGATGGATGGATGGATGGATGGATGGATGGATGGATGGATGGATGGATGGATGGATGGATGGATGATGAGTATATAAGTGGATGTATCATTGGATGGATGGATGCTGAGTAGATGGATGGATGAGTGGATAAGTAAATGGATGGATGGATGGATGGATGGATGGATGGATGCTGAGTAGATGGATGGATGAGTGGATAAGTAAATGGATGGATGGATGGATGCTGAGTAGATGGATGGATGAGTGGATAAGTAAATGGATGGATGGATGGATGGATGCTGAGTAGATGGATGGATGAGTGGATAAGTAAATGGATGGATGGATGGATGGATGGATGCTGAGTAGATGGATGGATGAGTGGATAAGTAAATGGATGGATGGATGGATGGATGGATGGATGCTGAGTAGATGGATGGATGAGTGGATAAGTAAATGGATGGATGGATGGATGGATGGATGGATGCTGAGTAGATGGATGGATGAGTGGATAAGTAAATGGATGGATGGATGGATGGATGGATGGATGGATGGATGGATGGATGGATGGATGCTGAGTAGATGGATGGATGAGTGGATAAGTAAATGGATGGATGGATGGATGCTGAGTAGATGGATGGATGAGTGGATAAGTAAATGGATGGATGGATGGATGCTGAGTAGATGGATGGATGAGTGGATAAGTAAATGGATGGATGGATGGATGCTGAGTAGATGGATGGATGAGTGGATAAGTAAATGGATGGATGGATGGATGGATGCTGAGTAGATGGATGGATGAGTGGATAAGTAAATGGATGGATGGATGGATGCTGAGTAGATGGATGGATGAGTGGATAAGTAAATGGATGGATGGATGGATGCTGAGTAGATGGATGGATGAGTGGATAAGTAAATGGATGGATGGATGGATGGATGGATGGATGGATGGATGCTGAGTAGATGGATGGATGAGTGGATAAGTAAATGGATGGATGGATGGATGGATGGATGGATGCTGAGTAGATGGATGGATGAGTGGATAAGTAAATGGATGGATGGATGCTGAGTAGATGGATGGATGAGTGGATAAGTAAATGGATGGATGGATGGATGGATGGATGGATGGATACTGAGTGGATGGATGGATGGATGGATGGATGGATGGATGGATGATGAGTATATAAGTGGATATATCATTGGATGGATGGATGCTGAGTAGATGGATGGATGAGTGGATAAGTAAATGGATGGATGAATGGATGGATGGATGGATGCTGAGTAGATGGATGGATGAGTGGATAAGTAAATGGATGGATGGATGGATGGATGGATGGATGGATGCTGAGTAGATGGATGGATGAGCGGATAAGTAAGTAAATGGATGGATGGATGGATGGATGGATGCTGAGTAGATGGATGGATGAGTGGATAAGTAAATGGATGGATGGATGCTGAGTAGATGGATGGATGAGTGGATAAGTAAATGGATGGATGGATGCTGAGTAGATGGATGGATGAGTGGATAAGTAAATGGATGGATGGATGCTGAGTAGATGGATGGATGAGTGGATAAGTAAATGGATGGATGGATGGATGGATGCTGAGTAGATGGATGGATGAGTGGATAAGTAAATGGATGGATGGATGGATGCTGAGTAGATGGATGGATGAGTGGATAAGTAAATGGATGGATGGATGCTGAGTAGATGGATGGATGAGTGGATAAGTAAATGGATGGATGGATGCTGAGTAGATGGATGGATGAGTGGATAAGTAAATGGATGGATGGATGGATGCTGAGTAGATGGATGGATGAGTGGATAAGTAAATGGATGGATGGATTGATGGATGCTGAGTAGATGGATGGATGAGTGGATAAGTAAATGGATGGATGGATGCTGAGTAGATGGATGGATGAGTGGATAAGTAAATGGATGGATGGATGGATGGATGCTGAGTAGATGGATGGATGAGTGGATAAGTAAATGGATGGATGGATGGATGGATGCTGAGTAGATGGATGGATGAGTGGATAAGTAAATGGATGGATGGATGGATGCTGAGTAGATGGATGGATGAGTGGATAAGTAAATGGATGGATGGATGCTGAGTAGATGGATGGATGAGTGGATAAGTAAATGGATGGATGGATGGATGCTGAGTAGATGGATGGATGAGTGGATAAGTAAATGGATGGATGGATGGATGCTGAGTAGATGGATGGATGAGTGGATAAGTAAATGGATGGATGGATGGATGGATGCTGAGTAGATGGATGGATGAGTGGATAAGTAAATGGATGGATGGATGGATGGATGCTGAGTAGATGGATGGATGAGTGGATAAGTAAATGGATGGATGGATGGATGGATGGATGCTGAGTAGATGGATGGATGAGTGGATAAGTAAATGGATGGATGGATGGATTGATGGATGCTGAGTAGATGGATGGATGAGTGGATAAGTAATGGATGGATGGATGGATGGATGGATGATGAGTAGATAAGTGGATGGATCATTGGATGGATGGATGCTGAGTAGATGGATGGATGAGTGGATAAGTAAATGGATGGATGGATTGATGGATGCTGAGTAGATGGATGGATGAGTGGATAAGTAATGGATGGATGGATGGATGATGAGTAGATAAGTGGATGGATCATTGGATGGATGGATGCTGAGTAGATGGATGGATGAGTGGATAAGTAAATGGATGGATGGATGGATGGATGGATGGATGCTGAATAGATGGATGGATGACTGGATAAGTAAATGGATGGATGGATGGATGGATGGATGCTGAATAGATGGATGGATGAGTGGATAAGTAAATGGATGGATGGATGGATGGATGCTGAATAGATGGATGGATGAGTGGATAAGTAAATGGATGGATGGATGGATGGATGCTGAATAGATGGATGGATGAGTGGATAAGTAAATGGATGGATGGATGGATGGATGCTGAATAGATGGATGGATGAGTGGATAAGTAAATGGATGGATGGATGGATGGATGCTGAATAGATGGATGGATGAGTGGATAAGTAAATGGATGGATGGATGGATTGATGGATGCTGAGTAGATGGATGGATGAGTGGATAAGTAAATGGATGGATGGATGGATGGATGGATGATGAGTAGATAAGTGGATGGATCATTGGATGGATGGATGCTGAGTAGATGGATGGATGAGTGGATAAGTAAATGGATGGATGGATGGATGGATGCTGAGTAGATGGATGGATGAGTGGATAAGTAATGGATGGATGGATGCTGAGTAGATGGATGGATGAGTGGATAAGTAATGGATGGATGGATGGATGGATGATGAGTAGATAAGTGGATGGATCATTGGATGGATGGATGAGTGGATAAGTAAATGGATGGATGGACAGATGGATGAGTTGGTGACTGAATAAGTGGATGGATAGCACACATGTCTAAAACTGCATTAAAACAACAAAATCTAAGTCCTCAGAGGGAAATAAAGCCATTTGTTGACATTGTGAAATGACCCAATAGAAATAGTTTATTTTTCATAAAAACATTGTTTTTATTTACTCTTTATTCTACTTTAGGCGACCGCTGTGCTTCAGCATCAACGTCTCCAATCAAACCTGGAGCGTTCTCCTTCACCCGGAAACAGAAGAAGATTCCTGCAGCACTAAAGGAGGTGCAGCCTGAACAGCCTCAGCATGTTTTAGGTTGAAATCCTCACCGGCAGACGGACGACAGGATTTTTATGTTTCTGTGTTTCTATGGTCCAGGTGTCTGCAAACACAGAAAACTCCTCCATGAGTGGCTACTTAAACAGGTCAAAGGGCAACAAGAAGCAGTGGAAGAGGCTGTGGTTCGTCATTAAGAATAAAGTCCTGTACACCTACGCTGCCAGTGAGGTATTCCCGCTCTGCTCACTCATGCTGTCATGAGCTCTACACAGGCTTCCCTCAACCGATGCGTTTACTGTCCGTAGGACGTGGCGGCGCTGGAGAGCCAGCCTCTGCTGGGCTTCTTCCTGCGGGAGGAGAAGAACGGCCCGGCCCAGAAGCTCCAGTTCAAGCTGTATCACAAAAACACGCTGTTTTATATCTTCAAGGCTGACGACATCCCCACAGCACAGAGGTACCTCGCTCGGGGGCGAGAGCTTTCACTCCTGATCTGGGACCATACCGTACCGTACCGTGTTTATTTCTACAGCACATTTAAAAACAGCATGACAGCTGACCAAAGTGCTGCACAGTAAAAAACGACAAACCCCAAGATAAAAACAGATAAAAGTCATATAGGAGGTCAAATCTAAAAAGTTGTAAAGGAAACATACAACAATAAAATACAGAGTCACAATAAAACGTAAAAACACTAAAAGCTAGATCATTGAATAAAAGCTAAATGATAGAAGAAGGCCTTCAGTACCGACTTCAATCGACCCAGTTCTGGGGCCTGTCAAACACTAAGGGGGAGAGCGTTCCAGAGTTTAGGAGCAGTGAACCCAAAGGTCCGCTCTCCACCAGATTTATACCTCATTTTCGGGACGCACAAAAGCAAATGATGTGCAGATCTGCAGGTTTCTGGTTGGAGCATACGGCTTTATCAGTTCTGAAAGATGAGCCGGGGCTTGACCATTCAGAATGTTGGAGACAAAGGTCAAAACCTTAAACTGGATGCGGTATTTAACAGGCAGCCAGTGCAAGCGTGCAAGGACGGGTGAACTGAGACAGCGTCTCGAGGTGTTTGTCAGGAACCTAGCCGCCGCATTTTGCTTTCTCTGTAGAAGCTCGATTGCTGAGGCGCTGACACCAACAAGTAGTGAGTTGGCATAGTCTAAACGTGTAGTTACAAAGGCGGGAACAACAGACTCCAGCTGAGGTCGTTTGACTTTAAGCGCGAGATGCGACATAGTTGGAAAAAGCAGGACCGGACTGTAGAGTTAGTTTGTGAACTCATTAACAGATCAGAGTCAGGTTTCACTCCCAGACTGGATACACAGGATTTAAGATTTAAAAACGGTAGAGGGGAGTCACCAGGTGCATGCTTTGGATTTATTGGATTAAAAAGAATGGCGTCGGTCTTGTTTTCGTTAAGGCAAAGGAAGTTCTCCGACAGCCAGCCTTTAGCTGCAGTAATACAGTCGACAAGGAGGCGTGTTGAGTCAGGTTGACTTAACGTCAGATAAATCTGGCAATCGTCCGCGTAAATGTGATAACTTATTCCAAGGTTAGTCAGAATCATCCCCAATGGCAATAAGTAAATCGAGAATAGGAGTGGCCCTAGAATTGAACCCTGAGGCACACCCCAGCGAAGTGGAGTAGATGGAAAGGAAAAGCTGTCAATGTGAACACAAATATGATCTGAACCAATGAAGTGGGATCCCTGTTACCTCCAACCTCCTAACTAGGACGTCATGGTCCACTGTGTCGAAGGCAGCAGAGAGGTCCAGGAGTAGCAGAACATGGGGACCAGAATCAGTTGCCACCAGGATATCATTTAATACACGAAGATGTGCAGTTTGTGTGCTGTGGTGAGGTCTAAAGCCAGACTGAGGAGCACTTCTGTAGTTTCACAACAAAAATCCACACTTTTTACTCTCTTCATAAAATTTTAGATTAATTTCTAAATAATACTCTTTTTTTTTCTTTTTCTTTTTTTGAAGAAGAAACGTTGGCGTTTCAGAGTTAGTACAGCATGTAGAGCCCCGTGAAGTCATTTTAATTCTTGTCTCAGAGCTTTTTTCTCCCTAAATAATTTTAATAATAATAATTTCTTCTGATTTTTTATTTTTTGAAAAAAAATAATCTGAAGAACATTAAAGGAGAAAATGAGATTTTATGGCCTGAAAATGGATTCAAAGTTTGGAGACGTGAAAATAGAAGATTTTCTTTCTCCCATAAACGTGAGCATCTTGCTGAGTCGTTGTTTACACTCAGACATCAAATGCTGTTTTTTCAGAGCGTTCGGGTTTTCAGTGACTTTAGAGACAAAGTTACGGTTACCAAGAAAAGAAGACGTGACATTAGCTGTATCTGATCAAGCTCGTCTCACTCATAATATTCTAGTCTAAAATCAGTAAACTGGTTTCTTTATTTAAAGGGGCATTATGGAAGTGTGACGGCCAAAACATGTATAGAAATAATAAATGTCTTCTTCATACGTTCTCCTGCAATGCCCTGGTCCTGTAGAATGAGTCCTGGCATTTTTACTGTGATTGCCTGTTTTTCTGTAAAATCACAGAAAAAGAGAGATGCTCGGGTCGAGCAGGCTGCTTCATGCGCGTTCACGCTCAGGCATCGCCCGTAGCATTTGCTATCCGTAGCTTTAGCAGCAGAGAGAGAGGCAGTGCCACTTTGTCGCTGTTCCTAACGCCTAGTGACAAAGCTAGCTACATTTCTGAGGACCCTTAGCTACTTTCTGTACAACTTTCTTCTAGATATTTCCTGCTAATTAGCAACAAAACAGCCATTTTCACTCCGAACCGTTCTTTGGTTTGACGTTGTTTCAGCTGTCATCAAGGATATAAATGTTACAGATACAAAGGACATCACTGGTGCTTTAGCTCACCTAGTAAGATGTTGGACTCTCATGCAGAAGACCTGGGTTTGATTCTGGGTGTGAACATAGTTTATTTAGAGTTTCTTTTTTACATTAATGGTATATTTTTTTACAGTAAGTTGCCCAAATTTTTATTTGAGACTCGCCTAACGGCATTGAATTCACAGATAAAAAAGATGTGGGTTCAACTTTCATTTTGGAACAATTTTTCAAGCAAGGGAAGGGAATGATCTGAGCATGCAGGAGGACTGACCCATCATAAACCTTTGTCGGCTGTGCTGAAGAGAAAGGTACAGAACCACATTATTTAATTAGTTAGCTGCATGTTCTCCTGTCCTCTGTCCTCCGCCCCCCCCCCCCCCCCCCCCCCACACACACACACACACACAGGACTGTCTCAGCTGTTATTTTCGTTAAGGAGTGTGCACGTACAGCATGCGCGCCGCGTGCACGAGCCTACTATTGAAGCTGCCGTTACGCTTTTGGCCTGAGGGGGCAATCACGAGCATAAAAATTCAAAACTCCGTAAAGTCCCTTTAAAAATAAGTAAACAACAACAACATAAACAACCTAAAAAAAAGCCAAAATGGGAGTGAATTTCATCAGATGAGCAGAAACTTGAGCTTTGTGTTTTTCAGCTGCAGCAAATTTCATATTTGTTTATTTTTCTTTAGATGGATCGAAGCCTTCCAGGAGGCCATGATTCTTGAACAGTAGTCACGTTGAGGCAGTGAAGAGGATCTGAATGGACGTCCAGGGTCGGCCGATGGACCACATCCAGGTTCAGCAGCTCAGGAAGGATCCAGGTGGGAGGGATTCCAAACTGAACGCAGAAGCATGACTGCTTTCCCCGCAGAGACGTTTCAAACCAACTGCAGCTTCTGATGTTATTCTTTCGGACTGAGATCGTAGCTAAGACTGGGTCAGAGGTCAACTCCAGGAGCGTGTGTGAATGTGCAGGAGATCTATCTTTGGAGGTTTGGAAATGATTCTTAAAGGCTTTCAGGTGTGTGGAACCATTTTTGACCCACAGGATTTTAAACACGGTTCCTTCAGAACGATTTTAGCAGAGTTTATATAACAAAGCAGGATTTTACTGTGAAAATCAGGCACAGAAACAGGAAGTTGATCACCTGTTGTTCGTGTTCGTCTTTTGTTGAAAGATTTTACACGGAGAAGTTTTCAAAAGTTTCATTATCATCATTTAAAAACAGACATCCTGGATACGACTGGAACGATCACACATCCTATAGATATAAACACAGCATGAACGTTTTTAGCCTGTTTAACCAAACCAGAAAGGGTTAACAGGAAATAAATGCACATAAAAGTACACCGCTGATCTGTTTTTTTCTTGTTTTTTCAAAGATGAGAGCTAATATTTATAAGATATGAAGATTTATTGTTGGAAAAGCGCAGGCTGCCACGTATTTAGAGTCAGAGTTGTTACAAAAATGATCAAAGTCATTATTTGACTTTTGTTTGTTTGGGTTGTTTTTTACAAGTAAACACTGTGGAAAGTTGTCATGAATTGTATTTCTTAAGTAATGCTCAGCAGACAAAAACATGTAAAAAACTCATTTTCTTTTACAGACATTGAGCCTTGTTCTGTTTTGAGAAAAAATGAAATGTTTTGTGTTTCGGTATCAAATGTCGCATCAGCTCATTTTCTTGGTACTCCGATGTTACGACCCAGGCTGCCTACAGCTGTAACGTCAGATGTTATACATTAAAATGAACAGAAGCTTCTTGAAGTTTCAGAAGTCTGTAAGGATGCTGATTTAGAAACCCTAAATTCATACCGTGTGTGGCTAAACAAATGCTCGTCGTTAGACCTGTTCGGCCATCTCTGATGATGAGAAGAAAATCTGCTGCAGTCTGAAGCATTTCTCCATGATTGTACGTTAACACTTGTAAACACTCTGACCTAGTCTCTTTTGAACAGCATTTTTAAACTGTCAGGCAACAGTTCCTAATAAAATATCTGTAAATCACTTGTCATTGTGTCCATTTGTGGCTTTGCTGTTTGATGAGAAACTGCAGAAGGACAACATCCCCCCCTTATGGTTTTATTACAAAGTGACGACAGAGGACTTTAGGAAGCAAGAGTTCACGTTAATGTTGAGTATCTACTTTGTCCCTTTGTATTTGATCTAAACAGCGATATGAAAGATTATGTTTTATGTCTCATTTCACAACCAGAGCAGAGAACCTGAACTGAGTTAGATTAGTTCTTGGCAGCAAATGGACCTGGAATCATTTCAGAAGTGATTACAGTTTGCATGATTCTTATTTTACCATTTTATTGTTTTGCTTCAGCCATCTCCACAATCAATAATCTGTCTCCATTTGCTCCTATCTTTTGTGTCCTCCACCTTCATACCTACAAGATTTCCCCCTACCAGCTCCCTTCTCACTACAGATCACGGTCATTAGTGAACATCATAGTTCATGGAGACTCCTGCCTAATTTAATCTGTCAGCGTGTCCATCATCATGGTGAAGAAAGGGCTTGGGGCAAATTATTATGATTCTTATGATGATGACGATTATTATTATATTATTATTATTATTATTATTATTATTATTGAAATAAGTAGCATGCGGAACATAAAATTAGCTCCCAGTTTTGTCGGACTGTGTTTGAGACGCTTCCGTCTGAAACATGGCGGAGTATGCTAACCTGCTTCGAAGGGCTTGGGGGCAAATACGAGGTCATGGAGGAGTTCGAGGTTTACTACTTCAGTTTTTTAGGTCAGTTTAGTTGGACATATTATTATACTGCTTTTATTGTCTTGCGAAATGAATAAATTTTGGACAATATTCGAAACGAGCCTTTTAAACGGGTTTTAATTAGGCTAACTTTAGCTAGCATGTTGACAAGTCAGAAAAAGACAGTTAAGACAGTAAATTAAAGTATAACCTAAAGTTTGATTAATTGCATCACTTATTTGATGAATTTGATTATTAGTGATAGAGTAATTAAAATTTAAAACCATTTGTTTTGCAGAGTGAATGATTTGAAAACCGGCGCTTTGGTCGGCGTTGATAAATATGGGAACAAATACTATGAGGACAAGAAGAACTGCTTCTTTGGTGAGTCTTTGAAGTCATTTAATTTTTTTTGTTTGTTTTGTGTGTTTTGTCTACGAGTTCTTGCTAGTTTTTTACTTTCTGAAAAATAATCATTTAATTTCAGCGTTAAGTGATGCAAATCTTCACATTGAAAGTTACCTCTCACACCACAGACTGTTGCATTTGTTTAAACTGAATGGTAAAATAAGTAAAACAGTTCAACCTTTCTCTCTTTATTTCACTAAAGACTGTGTTATGTCCACGCTATTTGTTGTTTTTTTACTCATTTGTTTGTTTGAGTGAATGGTTGAAGGAGATTTGCAGCACATTCAGGTACCAGAGATGCAGAACATCATTTCAGATTGCTCCTTAGCCATGTCTGCTTGCATTTGTTTAACAGTTCAATTTAAAGACACTTTGTTTATGTCAACAGTTTTTCTCCCCAACTTAAAAGTACAAAATGAATTCTGGGTCTGCTTTGCTATTTTAATTATTCGCACTTGGAGGATAACAAGAAAAACAGTCATGTGCTCATTTCTGAATCTGACAATTGAAAAAAGTTGTCAAAATCCAAAGAAAGTTCTGAAAGACCACCAGAAAACCTGGAGAACTGTTGATAACATAAAAGAAATTAAATATTTCTCTTTTTTTGTTTAGTTTTGTTTAGTTGGTAAATTAATGTTTAAACTTTATGGGACAGCAGCAGTTCAAGAGGTAGAGCGGGTTGTCCAGTAATCAGAAGGTTGCAGGTTCAATCTCTGACCAGAGGCTGCTGCTGTTGTGTCCTTGGGCGAGACCTTGTCTGCTGGTGTTGAGGGACCGGTGGCGCTTGCGTATGGCAGGCCTCGCCTCTGTCAGGGCAGCTGTGGGTACAACATAGCTAACATCCAAACCAGCATGTGAATGTGTGTGTGAATGGGTGAATGACTGATTCAAAATCAAGTCAACTTTATTTATAAAGCGCTTTCACATGCTCAAAACGGACAAACAAAGCGCTGTACACCAATAACAAGCACAACAATAAAACAGACATATAACCATTTAAAATACAATAAGAAATCCCGAGTACAAGTTCGCAATCCATATCAGTCCTTTTTCCAGAATCAGATCCAGACACATTCAAAGTGATGCTGCCCACGCAATCCTAGCTTCAGTGTCCAAACGCCAGCGAGAACAGATGTGTTTCTAGTCGGCTTTTAACGGTCTCCAGTGGTTTGGCCTGCTTTACGTCGGCTGGCAGCTCATTCCAGAGACTTGGTCCGAGCGCTGAAAAGGCACGACTCCCACGAGACTTCGGGCTGTACCTGGGCACGGTTAATAGTCTCTGGTCAGCTGAGCTAAGGGAACGCACCGAGACGTGTCGGTGGATGATGTCAGAAAGGTATTTAGGTGCCCCTGAGTTTAACGCCTTCAACACAAACAGGATGACCTTAAACCTGATGCGATAGGAGACAGGGAGCTGAGGAAGGGAGGGACCGATTGTGTTGTGAAGAGCTTTAGGAGGTCGTAGAACCCTAAGAATGAGTTCTACAAATACAGGCCATTTACTTTTTATTTAAACAATGTTTTTTTAAGCTTTTTGTTTCAGTTCAAGTAAGATACGAGTCTGAGAACGTGGAATAGTTGTTGCAGCTCCTCTCTGCTGCTGAAACATGTTGTTAGAAAATCTTCGACCTCCCAGAAAATCATGTGATTTTGACGGCCTTTGAGGGTGCTTCTCCTCTGGCTTTTCTGCAGTCACCAGTAAGAAATTATATTTTTTCTGTCGTTTTGTTCAGGGCGTCATCGTTGGGTGATCTACACCAAAGAGATGAACGGGAAGAACACGACGTGGGAGGTGGACGGCAGCATGGTGCCAGCTGAGTGGTGTGTGACGTGTCCTCTAGCGTCAATTTAAACTACAAGTAGTTTTGAAAAAGCCTAAACTGACAGATTAGTTCATCTCGGGTGTTAAATTATGTTTAGTATTTATTTTAGTTCTGAATGCAGACGGTGGAAAATGAAAAAGAGGAAATCTTTTTGGGTTTTTTTCATTCCTCAGGCATCGCTGGCTGCACTCTATGACAGATGATCCACCCACCACACATCCTCCAGAACCCAAGAAGTTCTTCGCTGAGGTGCATCAGTTCAACGTAAGCGGCACCCCTCAGCAGTACGTCCCTTATCCCACCACTCGTAAAAAGATCCACGAGTGGGTCCCCCCCAAAGCCGGAGCCCAGTGAACTCTGACCTCTTCCTTTCTCCTGTGTAAATTATGGATTCCTGCCTGTTTCCAACACGTTCAAAATAAAGTCTCTATACAAACGTTTGTGATGGGAATGAGTTAACTTCTGTGTCTGTTTCCTGTAAAGTTTGTCGTCAGTGATTTCAGTGAAACTAGCAGATCGTGCGTGAATCTGTTTTTAAAACAAGGTCGTCCAGCTTTTGGGTTTCAGGGGCAGTTTTTATAGTTTAAAGGAAAAGAACTCGATTGACCATAAAACCTGATTGCGTGTGTGTTACTGCACATGTTTACAGCCCTAAAGCTGCCTCGGCCAGTGAGCTGACCACTGCAGAATTCTGCTGATAGAAAGTTGTTGGACTGATGAAAACACAGAAAATTAGCAGAATCTTATAAAAAACAACAACCCAGGACTGTGCAAAAGCAGCTCCGAATCCTGCAAAAACCTTTAGATAATTGGAAGAAAGTAATTCAAGATTAATCTAAAAGTTAGCCTGGCCTGCCAGACTCCTCTGTTTAATCCTCTCTCTGTGCAGAATTAAACCGACGACGAGTGGCAGGCCAGGCTAGAAAAAAGTAACCCTGCAACTCAAAAACAAACTTATCTGAGACTTGGCTAAACTTGCAGGGTTTTACTAAAGTTAGAGTGAGGTCTTACTGCAACAGTTTGCTAATCTAATTTCACAAAACTTTGGCAAGATTTTGGCAAAAAAGCTCCGGATTTCATCAAACTTTCAATATCTTGCAGAAATTAAAAGAGCGTAAAGGTTGTTGAACGAGAGTGAGAACGGAAGAGAGGAAGTGCGGAACCAACGCCACGGGGAAAGGAGCCCTGCAGGCTCTTTTCTCCCACCACGCTACAGGATAGCTGAAATGCAACCTGCTAACGCAGACTCGTCCCAGAGTCTTGATTTCTGAGTTAATTTAAACTTGAGAAAGCGCATCTGCTAAACGCTTCAGCAACGTGTACCGAGGTCAACCCGGGACTGGACCGCCACACACCTTCGTCCTCTCTGCCAGCCAAGGTGTGACCTGGAGGACACATCCTCCGGGGTCCAGATCTAAAGGGGGTCCTAAGGTCGGTGAGGCAGAACACAATAGATAGCGTTCTGATGCTGTTTTTCTAATAAGAACTAAAGTTTAATTGCAAAACATCATTTTTTCACTCAGATCACCTTTTCTCTCCCTGAAGCAATCTCATACATACATGCACGCGTTCATAATTCCATCATCCTCCATCTTAGCACATCCAACACAAGGTCTATTGGTGCAAGCTTAAAATATCAACTGTTAAAGATTGTCCAACAAGGTTGTCAATGTTGATTGTTTTTCCTATGATTGTCATTTCAAATCGTTAGTTTAAATTGAAGAGTAAAATCTCTTAAAAGTTAAACTTGCCTTTTCATTGAACTGAAACACAGACACACGAATATGATCGTCAGTTTATCGATGAAAACAACCTTTGAGTCTTCTTATCTCTATAACATTTGGTCATTAATTTGTAAAAATTAATATTCCAGATTATTATGTAGAATGGTTCATCTTTCATAAAAGAGACAACAACCATTACGCTACATTAACGTGAGCCACTTTTACTGATTTAACAAAAACATTTTTCCTTCTACCCTCTGTGAAGCTCTGTGGTTCTGTAAAGTAATTTAAACCCTTATTTATAGCTGTGCTGCTAACTTAATTTGCCTAAAGAAGTTCTCCAGTGGAGACTTTGTCAAATGAGTCCTTAAAATGAGGAGATTTAGTCTTTTATAGCTTTTATGTGACTTTTCTGAAGGCAAGGATGTTCAGTAGGGTTGGTGATCTGTAGTGTGTTTTAATTACCAGAGGAGGGCGCTGTTTGCCTTTGTGTTTCAGGCCTGTGGTCCCAGCAGAAATCCTCCACCGTGTCTGTTTTCATGGCAGAAGAGGCTTTTGTTTAATTAGAAATGAAGACAGCGTCTCATTTAAACCCTTGAAGTAACGGATGAACACTGAGCTGCGGGTGATTGGACTGAGAGCGTGCTCCCTGAGCTGCGTTTAACATTTCCATCCAGCGGAGCGCTTATTAAGTGCTCTTCAGCTACATCTCCATCTCACTGGGGCTGATGGCTACAATCTGATTCATGCTGTGTAAATGGAGCAGATAATGTCGGCCTCCGTCCTTGTGTTTGCTGCTGCAGCTTCGTGCAGAGGCACGGCACCAGAATCAGGCTGGATTCTTGGGATTCCTCTCACTCCTGTCAGGTCTCCTGAGAGTGTTCACCTCCCTTACTTCAGTCTCCATCTTCCTCCCTGTCCGGTCCTGCTCTCCTCCTGCATCATTCATGCCTCGCTTGCTCCCTTCAGTGGGTTGTTTTATAGAGAGCGTGAGATCCGTCAGTGTTCGTGTTTTTGATCCAAACCACAGCTTTCCTTAGTTCCTGCTTTGGGTCATTAATCATCATTGTTTTCCCAGCTTTTCCTTGGAGCGTTTGGGTTTAAAATTTCCCAGTTTTGTTCTTTTTCCATAAATGCTGCGGCTCACATCGGAGGATAACTGAGAACTGGGAAAGTCAACCTAAAAATTTGCTTTAGCTTTCCTTATTTTTGGTGCTCCGTAGTGAAACTTCTCTTAGATTTTCTTGTGATGTGTGTTATTTTTTTTAATAAAATTTAGGGATATTCACCACCTTTAATAAAAAAACAGATTAATTAGCTGCTTGGACATGTTAATACATCTTAATTTAAAAAACAACAAGCCCTTAGACTCATATAATCGGCTCTTTCCTGATGTTTTTTATTGATTTAGGTGAAAACTTTGAAATTCTGAAAAACACCAAACACTTCCACAGATTAAGGGAAAAAAACAGCTTTCTCTTTAATCCGTTGGCTTATTTAGGCACCGTCAAGACATTCTGTGTTTTTCTGGGAATAATTTCTATTTTTGATCATTCTAGATGAGAGTGCTGACCTAACTTCTATATGGATAAAGAGAGGATTAGAAAAAGTGTCATCCATCCATTTCGTCTATCCATGGTTGGGTTATGGAGACCCAGACTTCCCTCTCTTCAGCTACTTGTGCCAGCTCCTCCGGGGGAATCCTAAGGCATTCCCTGGCCAGAGAGACGTAGTCCCTCCAGCATGTCCTAGTTCTTCCTTTAGGTCTCCTCCCGGTTGGACGTGCCCGGAAAACCTCACCAGGGAGGCATCCAGGAGGCATCCTGACCAGATGCCCGAGCCACCTCAACTGGCTCCTCTCGATGTGGAGGAGCAGCGGGTCTACTCCGAGCCCCTCCCGGATGACCGAGCTTCTCACCCTATCTCTAAGGGAGAGCCCAGCCACCCTGCTGAGAAAACTCATTTCGGCCGCTTGTATCTGCGATCTCGTTCTTTTGGTCTCTACCCAACGCTCGTGACCATAGGTGAGGGTTGGAATTTGAGAAGTTCGCCTTCCAGCTCAGCTCTCTCTTCACCACGACAGACCGGTACAGCGCCCACATCACCGCAGACGCAGCATCAATCCACCAATCCAAAAAGTTTCTTGTTTTTTAAGTGTTTCCAGTGCAGCATCGTCCAATGGGATGTTTTTTTTTTTGAGGATTTGTTATTTTTATTGATTAAAGCCATAAAAAAGCAGCTCTGCAGCATCAGCTTAGCTGCAGAGGAAGTGTGACATCAGCAAAATAACTTTTCATGTTTGTTCTTCTGTTTACTTTGTGTTTTATTCTGTAATTTAATCCTGATTACGTTTGCCTCCCTTCAGGTCTGACTTCTCCTCCTCCTCCTCTGTGTTTTTGCTCCCTGGTTTAGGAGAAGATTGTTGTTTGGTGGTTCCTCGTGTCGTGCCTGGTTCACTCCTGTTCCTGCGTGAATATGTTCTGGTTATTGTTGTTTTTATTCATCACGCTTTATTAACCGACTCGTGTCTGTTTTGTCCTTCTTTTAGGTCACAACAAATCAGGCAAGAAAACCAAAAGCACATCAGACTCAGGAGCCGGGCGTGGTGGAATGCCAAATTTTGTTTAAACTTGTAACGAGGCTCTGATTGGCCACCGTGATAAGAGCAGGTCAGATTGTCTAGAAACTCAGGAAATGAGGTTAAATGTTTCCTTTATGATCTTATTTAGCGTCTAGGAACATCTTATCTTTCTTACGGAAGTCCTTCCCTGGAGTAGGAGTGAGTCTCGGCATCAAGTTTCTGGGTTTGGGGTCTGACTTGTTGGTGCATCGCCTCCTGATCATGGCCATCAGCACCAGATCGTGGAGCTGCTGCTCCTCCTCACCAGGAAGAGTCAGCTGAGGAGGTTCAAGCATCCTAATCAGATGCTCCTCAGGTACATCCCTGGGAGATCCTGAGGAAAATCCAAAACTTGCTGGATCCTCTCTAGTCTGGGAAAGTCTTGGAATCCCCCAGGAGGAACCAGAGACCTCACGACCTGACCTTGGATAAATGGAGCTAATAGGAACCCTCGATGTGTCGTTCATGAACGAAACGGAGCCGACTCTTTGAAGTGACCAATCAGAGCTGACCCCATCCGGAGGAGCCGAATCGGAATGTCTTTTTTTCCCCTTTCTCTCCCTCCGTGTTTAAGCCGCACGTGACTGATCAACTCCTCGATGAGCCCTCTGCTCCTCGTCTGCAGCAAGCAGGAGGAGGAGGAGGTGAGGAGCAGAGCAAAGGGAACTTAAGTCACGCCCATCTACCAATGAACCACGGTTCCCCGGAAGGACGAAAAACAAATGCAAGTCAACGAGGCTAAAAACGCTATTTTCTAATTCCGCTTGTTTTGTGACATGGATTTCACACGTGATGTCCGTGAATTTTAAACACACATTTTGATACCAAGAACTCGCTCATTTTCGAACGGGGAGAATAATATTTTAGGTTTGGTGTGAAAATGAGTCCAGGACTACAAATGCGCTTCACGAAAGTGACGTCATCGAACCAGACACGGAGAACGCAGAGGGAAAACGGCTGTAAGTTCAGCAAACTTCCAATCCTTCCTTCAGGAGGACAGAACCACCATAAGTCTGGTCATGTGGTGAGTAGCAGCTATGCTAGGGGAGAGGAGAGTCTGTGGTGACGTCACATATGCGACGTGCCCATTTCTGGT